ACCCCGGGTTCCAATCTAGGCCCCGTGGTTCATGTTTTCGAGCAAGGCGGGGTGGAAGTGGACCGACCAGCCTTTGCCACCACGGTTCTTTGACTCCGGAAACCCGGGCCCCCACCTCGGTCCCCTCGGCTGGGTCTTGCGTTGAAATGTCCGGCGGCTAGATGGGTCCCCTCTTCGCCTCTCAGCACCCCAGCGTCTGCGTCATCCTGCCCTGGCCTTGGGGGACGGGGACCCTGAGCTCTGGGTACTGCAGGTGCGGAACTGTGTGAAGATCGGGCCCTGCTGCTGCTCTGGACGCCAGGCTTGGCGGCCGGGCCGCCTCCCCTCTCGGCCTGCCCTTTCCCTGCGTTCTGTGTCACCGTCCCCAAGACTGTGCGCACTCTGGCTTCCCCGGCCTCTCCTCTTTAGTGACCCTTTGCCAAGACTGGTTCTTTGAAGGTTTTCTTTTCCGAAGATCCACTAGAGGGTCTTTGAGGGATTTCTAAGATTCATAAAGTGAAGTTTCATCCTAGGTCCTTCCATTCTGCTCCTTTACAAAGCAAATGTAAAACCAAACCAAACCAAAGCCTCCGTGGACTTCGATTTCTCTCCACCCGCCCCCCCCCCCCCCTTAGATGGAGGCAGGAAAATTAGGCTGTCCCCAGCCCCACCCCTTTGTGGGAGGAGCTCCTGAATGCGGATGTGGAACGCTCCCGGGTGGCTGCCCGGCCACCTTCTCCTGGCAGGCTCAGCTCTGGCTTCTCCTAACTTGGGGTGGTTCCCTTGGCACTGGAGAACTGTCTAATGGCAGACGAACCACCTCCAAACCCCAGCTGCAGTGGGAAAACCGCACCCTGTTGTCTAATCAGTTCATAAATGTTTTGTGACTATGAAATGTCATACATTAAAAGCAGCTTATTCTGCTTGTTTCCTTGTTCTGGGGTGTTTGTTGTGTGGGGGACTGAGGGTGGGCAGAAGGGGTGTGTGGATTCATTAGAGGGCTTAGAACTGTCAGCTGCCAGGTGGCTCTTGCTGGCTCCAAAACTCTTGCATCAACGAATTGCTGCTGCTGTGTAATTCCGCAGATGCCATTGGGCCAGATTTAGTTTTCATTAGGCTGCTAATTGGCTGATGCCTACCGTGTGGCAGGCACTGGACCAGGCCTGCGTGCAGAGTCTCCCACTTAGTCTTAGGTAGGTTTCAGTGTCCCACTTTACCCCCTTGAGAGGAGGCAACCTCAGAGAGGGGCCTTGTCTTGCTTGGGGGGCACATGGTCCTAAACAGTGGAGCCCACTTTGAAATCACAACCTGACCCATTGTGTAAGGCTGCATTTTACCAGGCTGCATTGTGCCTTTCACAAGCTCTAGGTACATCAGCCTTTATGGAGTCCTTCCTTTACAAATGATATAATTAAAATGATATTTTACAGCTCGATTTGTACAAAGATAAATTATCTAAGTATCTGGATAACTTATCCAGACTGGATTAACAACTAAAACATTTTCTTTGACTCTAAAAGTTTATCCTCAGATTTTAAGAGACATGAAAATCTTTTCATTTTAACAGTTGGGAGAAGTGGCAGAGAGCCCCACCCCCTCTATGCTGAATGCTGACTGGAACAGCCTGCTTTCTACCTGAGGTACCTTGGGTGGTAAGAGATTATCCTGCCCAACAGCTCAGCCCTCAGTTTCCCTTTTCTCATCATGTTCTGGGACAGCTGGGATATTTCCGTCCTTCAAAGAAAGATCCAGATCCTACTCCCGTCACAGTCTTTTTCTAACTCAGTTAAGACCCTCTGCAATAAGCCTGACTAAAACAGGCTTCCCAATGGCCAGCCTTCCCTTCTCTGCCCTCTGCTGCCTGGGGCTGTGCAACGTGTCCAGTGTCTGGTGCTCAATAATGTGATTAGACCTGGTTGCCTTTTAATAAAACACAGCGGGCATGGGGAGGGAGCTCACTGCTTCGTGCAGGTTAGGCCCTCAGGGCAGCTATGTCTCTGGTGATTATATTAAGTGGGCGTCTGACTGCAGGTAACGTGTACATGCTGGGGTCTGTATGTTTGACTGTCATAGCAGAAAGTTCCAGAAGCTGTCAGATACCTGTCAAACCCCTCCCCTCCCAAATCTTGTTCTGAGAGAGGATGGCAAGTAGCAGTGTACAGGGAACTGTGGGATTGCAAGACTGGTCTGAGCCAGGCGTGGGGTGCATTTGAGAGGCTGAGGTGAGAGAATTTCAAGCTCAAGGCCAGCCTGGGCTATAGTTTGACACACTGTCTTAAAAAAACAGCAATAGCAACAACAACAACAACAAAAACCATGTCACAACCTGCTGTGACTGGGGACAAAATAGTAATGGACACCATGATAGAACTGAGGTTTAGGGCACCGAGGGCCTGAAGTTTTCCGTCAGCTTCAGGTGCCCTGGGCCCGCTTTACAAGGTATCTATTGAATAGGGTACAAGGGCATACATGCAGAAAGTAAGGTTACAATATCCTTGAAGTCACAAGAATCAATAATGTGATACAATCTTAATCTATACACCAATCTTAATCTAAAAACCAATTGTGGTATAATCTTACTCAAGTGATAAATAACCTCTTTATCTTAAGAAGCAGGTGTAAGCAGTAAATGACTTATAATTTGCATAGACTTTTGTCTGTCCCCAAGCTCCCAGAAAGTTTGGTGTGGAATTAACCTACACCCGGGATGGAAATCTGAATTCTCATCAAGCCAAGACTGATTGACCTTTTCAGGAAACTGAAAACCTTTCTGGTCTCACAGCTCAGCCTTTGGGGACAGAAAAAGAAAGGAAGAAAAGAGGAAGAGGAGGAGGAGGAAGAGGAGATTGCCGGAGCCCACAGTTGTGCTCTGAGAACAGAGGCAAAGAACAGCTTACCATGTGGGAGCACCCTGTTAGGAAGGGGTGATTCAGTCAGGACCGGGAAAGAAAGGACTGTGGCTCGGGCACTGGCTCACTGGGAAGCAAATATCTTATCTGGTTTCAATGCTTGAAAATATGCCCTGGAGTCAGGTGCCAGTGGCTCACGCCTGTAATCCTAGCCAGGCTCTGCCCAGAGCTGTCCATCTGTGCAGTCCCTCCTTGGCTACAGTGAGTTGTTCATTATGTTGAACTGAACCAAATTGCAAGGGGAGATCCCTGCCACTCCAGGACTTTCCATTCATCTATTTGTTTTGAGACAGGATTTTACTATGTGGTGCAGGCTAGCCTTCAGTTTGAGATCCTCCTACTTCAGCCTCCTCAGGCTGGGTTACAAGTGTGTACTATCATGCCCAGCACTATTTTGTCTTTTTTGGGGGGCAGGTAAGTCTGGACTTCTCACACTTGGAAATGTTAACTGTGGCCTTAGGCCCACCTAAGGCAGATGATCTTGCTTGGTGTGGGTGAGTTTGCTGCCACCCCTCTTGCCAAGATCTGGTAGCATCTTCATACCAGAAGACTCCAGTAGTTCCAAAGGCCCTCCCTTGTGTCTGGCTTCCTCCCAGGCTGCTCACCTGATTTCTCGGGCTCTGTGGCCTGGGAGAGCTGCCCTAGTGGTATCAAATGACAGTCTCTCAGCTCACTTGCCCTTCTGAACTTCTCTCCCACCCACCCACTGCTACCCATTGTTTCCTAGGATTGCAGCAAGGCAGCACCCATACTTGGTACCATGGCAGTATTGGGGGTAGGTGGGTATGGAGCAGGAGGCTGGAGGGAGATGGGGAAGAGTACTATTGGACTCTGGGGCAAAGTAACCTCCTCAGTAAGAGCTGCTAGGACCTGGATTGGCTTTAGGATCTGGAAAGTGTGACAGCATCACCAGCTGGAGACCAGACTACAGGGCAACCTTCATGAAAGGAGACAGACCTCTCTCAGGTGTAGTGGGAAGGGCCAGAAGATTACAAAGAGTACACATGCTGTAACTTGTTCCCAGGTGGAAGGCAGGGACTGTGTCTTCTCTATATGACACCTAGTAGGAACACCTAGCTCCTACACAGAGTAGGAGCTCAAAAAGCAGTTGAAGATCACTGGTGGCTCACATCTATAATCCTAACTACTCAGAAGGCTGTGATCTGAGGATCTCAGTTGGAAGCCAGCTCCAGCAGGAAAGCCCATGAGAATCCCATCTCCAACGAACCACCAAAAAGCTGTAAGTGGAGCTGTGGCTCAAGTGGTAGAGTGCTATCCTTAAGCAAAAAAGCTCAGGGACAGCACTCAAGTCCTGAGTTCAAACCCCAGGACTAGCACAAGAAAACAAAACAAAACAGGGGCTGGGAATGTGGCTTAGTGGTAGAGTGCTTGCTTAGCATGAAGCCCTGGGTTTGATTCCTGAGTACCACATACACAGAAAAAACCAGAAGTGGTGCTGTGGCTCAAGTGGTAGAGTGCTAGCCTTGAGCAAAAGAAGCTCAGGGGCAGTGCTCAAGCCCTGAGTTCAAACCTCAGAACTGGCAAAAAAAAAAAAAAAAGAAAAAGAAAAAGAAAGCAAGAAAAAAAAAAAGAAAAGAAAGAGAAAGAAAGAAAGAAAGAAAAAGAAAACAAAACATCACTGTTGAGTGGCACAGATATTTGCTGGTTGAAACTTGGGATGCGGGCTATACTCTTTCCTGTTAGGCTTACGTTATCCTCATGTGAAGAGCTTGTGGCTCCCTGGCTGTTGGGTCCCCCCTCTCCTCTCTTCCCCTTCCTCCCCTCCCAGCCCAGCTTGCTCCATGTCATCATTGGTGGGCAGGTGCAAGTTGCACTTGGCAGCGGATGTCCCAGGAACTCAGGACTGAATGTTCAGTGTTAAGGCACAGGTCATCCATCACCCTGGGAGGAGAGCCTCGCTTGGGTTTCTGTCTGCCTCATGGAGAGATTAATTGGCACAGGCAGACATACCCCATACCCCTGGATCTGCACTTTGTATTTGACTTGTGTTAAGAAGTTGTGGCAGGCCAGCCTGCCTCGGGCAATGTTCCTTCTGTTCTTCTCGATAGGGCTAATCAGATTCCCGCACTCTGAGCTCTCTGGAGATGAATCTAATAAGGAAGGGTGACCTGGGGAGGATGCAGGGGCGCTGAGAAGAACCGCATTCTCCTTTTTGTATTCCCTGAGAGAGTCAGGGAGAGGCATTACAGTCCCCTAGAACAGCCAGTCCCCTCCCAGTCTCCAAGACGTGGACAAGACAGAACCCAAGAGGGTAAGGAGGCGTGGAGAGTGTGGGGGACAGAAGGAGGGGCTGGGGACAAAGTGGTGAGCAGGATGGCCACCCTGGGCCTGGAGTGTGCCAGCAGAGAGCGTGCCGGCAGCAGAGAGCAGGTTGCTGGGTGGGAGGGATGGAGGCCTGGAAGGCCAAAGGTTGTGTTGTTGATGCTTAGACCCCAGAGCCTCCTCTCTCCTCCTGCAGGTGACATTTTAGTGGCAGGAAAGGGATGACAGGGCTGTCAGACAGAGGGTGGTGGTGGTGGTGGCCGGTGGCTGTTGCTGGTGGAGGGAGGTGGTTGATGGGAGAGGACTTTGACCTTGGATGCGTTTTAAGGTCTGTGGGTGTCCAGGTGGAGGGGGAGCATGGTAGGCCACAGAAGTGGGGCTGGATTTGGAGGAAGGGCAGAAGTGGAGGACATTTTGCAGTCATGCAGAGCCACAGGTAGCAAGTGACAAAAGTTTTACAAATAGGGGTTCATTGTTGGCCAGGGCTTTGGAAATAGCATTTCTGTGGGAGTGTGGCTCCAGGCTGTGTTTCTGGAAGGTGGTTTGAGAGAACCCGCAAAACACTGAGAAAGAACCTGGCCCTTCCACGGACAAGTGTGCAAAGATGGCCGCTTGGTGTGGTGACCTAGTGAGAACCTGGGAACGGCTCTTGGCCATGGCGTGGTGAAGAGACCAGTCAGCAGTGGTACAGCCCATGTGTGCAGATGCAGGTTCTCTCTCTCCCTGTTTCTCTCTCAATTCTGTTTCTCTGTTTCTCTCATTCTCTCATTCTCTCTCTCTCTGTCTCTCTGTCTCTCTCTCTTTCCCTCCCTCCCTCCCCCCTCCTTCCTATGCTGGTCCTAGGGCTTGAACTCAGGGTCTGGGCACTATCCTTGAGCTTATTTTGCTTAATGTGACTGCTCTACTACTTGAGCCACAGCTCCACTTCTGGCTTTTGGGTGGCTAAACAGAGTTAAGAGTCTCACAGACTTTCTTGCCCAGGCTGGCTTTGAACCATGTTCCCTAGATCTCAGTCTCCAGAGTAGCTAGGATTATAGGTGTGAGCCACTGATGCCTGACCTCCTTTCTTTTGAATTGGTGGAGGTGCTAATAGTTGTCAGCGGGGGGCAGAGAATTGGGGTGTGTAGGTGGAACTCCGGTGTCAGGAGGCGACTGCATGCTTCGCATGAGCCTTGCAGGGCCATTGTGGAAGGCCAGCGCTGTCTCTGTTTGTCCCTTCACTTGCTGCTGGCACCCTGCTGCAGGGGCAGGTGGCCGGCAGCTGTGATGGCAGTGGGCTAGGTTCTTCCTCAGGATTCTGACAGGTTCCCTTGCCATTTTCCAGAAACACAGCCACACTCCCACAGTGGGTGCGAATGTTGTTTCCAAAGCAAACCCCTTAGTACAGAGTGGGATTCTGTCCTGAGCAGCAAGGCCAGGCCTGCCCCGGGGCCTCGCTTGGGGAAATCTAAGTCAGGCAGCTCCCCCCTCCCTCCTACCCCCCACGTGTCAGTGGATGGATGACAAGCCGGGAATTCTATGTGAGGCTTGGCCCTCCACCTCAGCTGAGTGGGTAGAGCAGCTCCTCCATGGGCCCTAGGTCTGGGTGGACAGGAAGGGAAGGAGGTCTGGGGCTCCCCTGCCCCCTAGTGGTTGGACGCACTTTCTCTACAGGATAGTCAGCTATGGGTTGCCAGGGCTGGCCCTGGGAGGGATGGGGGTAATGGTGGGGGGACTCCTCTTTATCAAGACTTGGAGTTGAGAAGTCAGGGAGGGGTCAGGCGGCCATTGATCGCCTCAGCTGTGCTTTTCCATCCATCTGGGGACAGTACCTTCAAGGAATTCGCCCATGTCTCATCATTTGCCTCTCAGCCTAACCCAAGAAAACCCAAGGCCTCTTGAAACAGTACAGCTCACGCATGGTGCCCACGTTCACATCCTTGCACATGGAACCCGATTGAGACTCTGTCTGGGTGGGTAGACAGGCTGGGCCTCCGGCTGAGCTGGGTCTAGGGGGTGGGTGTGCAGTCAGCACAGGGGCAGAGGAGGTAGAAGAGGAGCTGTGTAGAGATGGATGAATTTTTCTGCCCCTCTGAGCTTTGTCTTTCCTGCAGAGGCAGCCTCAGCATGGACGGCAGTGCCAGCCCCATGCCCACCCCCAGGGCACTACCATACTATGTGGCCTTCTCTCAGCTGTTGGGCCTGACTGTGGTGGCTGTGACTGGGGCCTGGCTGGGTCTGTACCGAGGGGGCATTGCCTGGGAAAACGTGCTGCAGTTTAACGTGCACCCCCTCTGCATGGTCATTGGCATGATCTTCCTGCAGGGTGATGGTGAGTCTCCATGGGGCCAGCTCCTGAGAGCTGCCTCAGCTGTGGTGGTCCCGGGGAGGTCTCTTCCAGTTTGACAAATCAAAGATTCTAGAAAAGAAAGAAGGAAGCTGGGATAGAACTTGGGGAGAGTTTAAACCTTGGCCCAGAGGTTAGTGGGTGGCAGCTGCCCTGTAATTGGCTAGCACTTTCCCTTCCTGCTTTTGCAAGGGGCATCTGTGTGTGTGCATGCACGCACAGACACAGACAGACATACACACTCCTCTTCCAGAGCAGACAGCCAGGGCTTGACTGTGAGGTAGGCTGTCTCCAGGGTGGCTAAGTGGGAGAAGCAGCAGGAGTGTGTGCATATGTAGATTGTTGCACTTGGACTTGGCTGAGCTAGAGCTCCTTTTCCTGGGATGGGAGCCAGGCATGTTTAGTTTGCACCCAACTGGCAAGCTAGAGACCCAGGGATCTGGATCTCTTCCTAGAGGCGGTCCTGGTGGCAGCCACTAAGAGCAGCAGATCCTAGGAGGCAACCCTAAGGACCCTGGCCCTGCCCACCAAGCAGTGGGGATTAGGTGAGGATGGCAGGTCCAGTTTAGGAACTTGGAGCCTGCTTTGCCGAAGGAAGTGACCCTTCGGCTTCAGCACTGGACTCTCTAAGAAGCAACATCACTAAAAGGTGTTGTCACTGCATGACTAGCCCAAAATGCCCCAATGAATAAATTCACTGGACACCTGGCAAGAAGTGGAGGGGTGGAGGGAGGGTGTTGCTGGGCCTGTGGGTGAAGACTGAGGGCAGAGCCCCGCCTTTGCAGCCTCTTGTAGTGGCAGAACCTGTGGAAAAGCCTTCTATCCTGGTCTCTGAATGTGCATGATGTGCATGATGGGGTAGTGTAAAGGCCAGGGGCTGCCGGAGGCTCCAGCGAGCCCTCTGTTATCCTGTTCTCATCCAAAGATGGTTGCCGTCCTTGCATTTAACTCTGATCCATGTCTGCTGGCATGAGCCTCCTGGCTGCTTGGCCAGCACCTGCCTACTGCGACTTATGCTCTCTCTCTCCTTCCTGTAAGCCCTGCTGGTTTACCGCGTCTTCAGAAAAGAGGCCAAACGCACAACCAAGGTGCTGCACGGGCTGCTGCATGTCTTTGCATTCGTCATTGCCCTGGTGGGTAAGTTCCTGGCATAGCCTTCCCTTGTCCCACCTGCTGCTTGGGCTCGGGCACAGCCTCTGATCACACACTGTACCTTTTCTGGAGCTGTACACTCCCTACTCGCTCCCCCACAGGCGTCCCAGGCCAGGACACTGGCTCCCCACCCCCCTCCCCCACAGGCATCCCAGGCCCGGACACTGGGTGCTGGCAGGAAGGGCTGGACCAGAGCCCAGAAGTTCTGGCCAGGCGGCTTCCCTCAGGTCATCCCACCCTTTTCCACATCCAACTCTATCCTCACGAGGCCCCTGTTTTTGGTCCAGGCTTGGTAGCTGTGTTCGACTATCACAAGAAGAAGGGCTATGCGGACCTGTACAGCCTGCACAGCTGGTGTGGGCTGCTTGTCTTTGTTCTTTACTTTGTACAGGTGAGCTCTTCCAGTGCCCCAGGTCCATGGCCACAAGGGATGCAGGAGGTAGAGGAGGGGAGTGGAGGAGTGGCCCATTTTCCAGGATGCATGCCCAAAGATGAGAGTTGGTTAGTCCAGTTGGAGCTGCCTTTAGAGGCTGAAATGGAAGCAAAACTAGGATTTTACAGGTCAGGGTGCCCTGGGCCCTTTCTCCCTTCCTGCCCACCTAGCCTGTGTTTAGTCTCACTCCCTCTCACACAGGGTGATGAATTGCCATAGGTCTAAAGCCTCAAGGCAAAAGCTTCTTAAGAAGGGATACCCAGGTGGGAGAGGCAAGGCAGGGTCCCTGGCAGGGTCTGGGGCAGGCCAGTGGCCAGCACCTCTCCTTTTCTTCTAGTGGCTTGTGGGCTTCAGCTTCTTCCTGTTCCCTGGAGCTTCATTTTCTCTCCGGAGCCGCTACCGCCCTCAGCACATCTTCTTCGGAGCCACCATCTTCCTCCTATCTGTGGGCACAGCCCTGCTTGGCCTAAAGGAGGCGCTACTGTTTAAACTGGGGTGAGTATACTCGGGCAGCAAGTGCAGGCCTGCAGCCTCTGCTTCACAGGATGTTTATTTACGGAGCCAGCTTTCTGTGATGTAGGCAGCAATGGCTTTTTTTTTTGTCTGGGAAGGGATGCAGGGGCTGGTATTGGTTTTGGCAAACCCAGTGTGTCTTTAACACCGGGGATTAGAATGACGTCCTAATGAGAATCCCTGGGGTGGCTTCTCCCTTCTCCCTTCCCCTGCAGGTCCAAGTACAGCACATTTGAGCCCGAGGGGGTCCTGGCCAATGTGCTGGGCCTGCTGCTGGTCTCCTTTGCTGTGGTTGTGGTCTACATCTTGGCTCAAGCCGACTGGAAGCGGCCTCTCCAGGCTGAAGAGCAAGCTCTTTCCATGGACTTCAAGACCCTGACTGAGGGAGACAGCCCCAGCTCTCAATGAGGGCTGGTCCTCCTCGGGGGCTTGGCAGGGGTGGCTCTTCCATTCTGTGGGGTTCCCATAGGTGTCTTTTTGTTCACCCTTACCGAGGCTGTCTCCATGTCCCTGGGCAGAGGATGGGCAGCCTGGGTAGGGAATAGGGTTTGTTTTAGCTAGACTCTAGGTTAGGGTTTGTCCTGTTCTCCCTCCTCCCTTGCAGCGATAGCAGTATCGCATGGCTCCTGTGAAGGCCTGCAGGAGACCTGTGCCCCTGTGCTGCTCCTTCAAATACGGAAGGCTTTGGGGGTCAGATGGTGGCAGATCCTTAGAGATGCTGGAGAGTGGCTCTGCCCTTTCTCAGGCTGCAGATGCCTGTAGTGAGGCCAGGGAAACTCCAGGGCTGAGATGGGAAGGCTGGGAAGAGCAACGGCTGCTGCTTTGTATAGCAGAGTTGTTGGCAGTGGAGCCAGTGATGATATGTCTCAAGTATGTTAGCATTCAGAGAAAAGCTCCCCAAGAGAAGAGAGGGAGTGGCCCAGGGAAGTGCTGTGATATGTCTCAGCCTAGCTGCCATCTTGAATCTCCTATTCCTTAACCCATGAGCCGAGGGATGGCTTTGTGTGAGTGGGAGGGAACAGATGCACATGGCCTCAGAGATACTTGCCCTGGCCCCTGAGGCTGGCCTGCTTGGAGGCAGCAGCCTCACAGCTGCCTGTCCCAGGATTCCTTTTGGCAGGGCCTGGGCTTAGCCCTGGTTTCCACTCAGGCCATCTCAGGCAGGGTCCAGGAGGCCGAGGGCACAGACACTTTCTAGGTTTTTAAGCAACGAGCAACCTCATGTTGCTCCACTAGGGGCTTCTGAGCTGGAGGCTGAGCCCCTCCCTTACCTGGGCCCAATGTGCAGGGTGTTAGGATCAAGACAGAATAAGATGAGGCCCATGGTGTCTGCACATCACTCCAATCCCTAATGTACTGTTAGCTGAGTCACTGTTTGGCTTTAGTCTAGAAATAACATGATTAGAACATTGATCTTGTGCTTTCCTGAGTTTGGTGAATATATTTCCTTTGTTTTCTGGACTTTGAGGACAATTTTCTCTGACTGCTGACAACTTGGGACAGATATAGTTTACCTAAGGAATACAATAAAACAGACTCCTATTGTTTTGAAAGTTGCCTTTTACCTTAAAGCTGCCTTTGAGAAACAGATTGGCCATCTGTCTCTCAGATTTGTAATGATGAGCCTCCTCCCCCAGTCTCTTCCATCTCTTCTCCACTCCCAGGATGATGCTTTGCTCCCAGGATCAACTGTATACCTGGCAAGAATGGGGGTCTTATCAATCCTGTGATCACTGGCATACACACTCAAATATTTACCCATGGGAAACTTGCCCTTTGACAAACTGCCAATGTACAATCATATATCTCCCTTGCCAGGTTCTACAGAGAACAGGAACCCTGCATTTGTAATGAGACTGTAAACTGGTCTGTTTGCCAAAGTGTATGCTGGATGACTAAGGACCAAAGATGACCCCAACAGATGTGTGTGGTTTCAATGTTTGCTTGAGCCAGTCTCCTGATGTGCAACAGATGAATCAATAAATGTCTACAGCAGACTGCTTGCCAGCTTCATTGACTACAGCAACGGAAGGACTCGGAGCTCCAGCAGTTCTCCTAGGGTTGAGTCAGTTCTCCTAGGGTTGAGAGAAATTGTTCTCAGATTAGGGCTGGAAGGTTATGTGACTGTCAGTGGTGGTTTTTTTCCCCCCAGCACAGGACTGAAATGGGCCTGTGGTGGTTGTGTTGTCCCAGTGGCTCATCCTCGTATCAGACAATTTTCCTAAAGAATTGCTAGGATGGTGGCACTGCCTGTGCCTGGTAAGGGTTAAAGCCTGCAGTATCCCCAAAGTACAGTATTCTTTCATTTTCTTTCCTTTTTTTGGTGCCAACATCACTTAAGCCATACTTCTTCTACTGACTTTTCACTGGCTAAATGGAGATGAGAGACACAGGGATTTTTCTGCCTGGGTTGGTTTCAAATCATGATCATCAGATCTCACCTCTTGAATAGCTAGGATTACAGGCATGAGCTACCAGTGCTTTGCCAGACCCCTATCTTAAAATAACAGGTCTGGGAATGTAGCTCAGTGCGAATGAGCTTGTCTAGCACAGTACAAGACCTTGATTTTGATCCCCAGCATGGCAACAACTCCCAAACCTCCCAAATGACCCAACAACAAAACAAAAACACCTTCCTGAGGAGCTCACTATTTAAGGGGCCCTTATAGCAGATCCTAAGTTGTTTCCTTTGTCCAACCTTATCCTTTGTAAGCTGGTTTCTAAGGAGCTAGTAGAAAAGCCAGACCCTAGAGGTCTTTCTGTAGCCTTTCTTTGAACCAAGGCTTCCTTGTGGACCTTCATTTTCTTCCAAGTATTTAAAGTATATGGCTTGGCACATGTCACACAATGCTCAGGCACTGAGCTAGCCAGTATGAAGGCAGAGGGAAGGATTAAAGACGATGGCACTATAGTTTATGTCGATCCTTTCCTGGACGGTTGCAGGAAGTCTTCACACACCGACCCACACAGAGAAGTAGCCAGCTACAGTTGACAAAAAGGCCTCTGTTAGAAGAGGAAGCAAGCAGGAACTTCTGAAAGCTCTCTTGAGTTCTGCTGGCTTCTACTATGAGTATTCAGTTCGGGGAAAATTCTTGTTTCACCTTTAGCCTTTCTTCCAATGCCCCAGCAATCCTTTAAAAGCTGGGGTTTTGCTACCACTTATTCTCTTTTTTTTTCTTTAGTACCTGGGTTTGAACTCAGCCTCACAATTGCTACGCTGGAGCCCTAATATGTGAGTTATGGCTCCAACCTTTTTTTTTTTGCTGGTTATTTTGGAGATGGAGTGTAGTCACTTTTCTGGCCTTGAGCCACAACCCTCTAGATCTCAGCTTCCTGAGTAGCTAGGATTACAGGTGTGAGCCACCAGTGCACAGCCCTCCTTTTGAATAGTTTTCAGACTAAGCAGGTGGTTCCTTTGAGTCTCCTCTGCTCTTCAAAGGCTATTATGGCATCCGGGTTGGGATGACTGGGCTTGCCCAGGCAATTTTCTGCTTCTGTAGGCTTTGGTCACTTGGGAAAGTGGATATGGTTACCCAGGAAAATGTCATTTAGCACAATCTGATGTCTAGAGGAAGCTGTCTCCTTCTTTGCTTGTAGCTGAAGTAGACAAAGAGGTTTCAGTTAGGCAGGAAAGGCTTCATGTCTCACTGTGGGCCATTCTTTTTTTCTTTATATTCACAACTCAGCTACCTAGCTTACTTTCTATATGGCAAGAATTGGAAGTCTGGCCAGATTTCAGGAGGCTTGAAGCCACTGGAAGGTGTGAGCCTCTAGCTCTGTCCAGTTTTAGCGTTGGGATGTTCAGTGTGGGCCACCCCACTGCATCCTCAGACTCTCAACTGGACAGTCTGGCTGGCAGCTCCCTGCAACCATGGGACTTGGGAAGGTGGTTATACAAAATGAAGCAAGAGCACTCAGGCCTGGTGGCCTGCACCTATAGGCCAAGCTTACAAGGGGGAGGTAATAGGATGGGGGAGATGGCTTGAGTGCAGCAGCTCAGGGCCAGCCTAGGCAAGAATGAGACACCTGAATTTTTAAACAGTGTGCAGCAGGTTCCATGGAAAAGCCTTTTTTTTTTTTTTTTTGCCAGACCTGGGGCTTGAATTCAGGGCCCAGGCACTGTCCCTGTCGTTATGTGCCCAAGGCTAGTGCCCTGCCATTTGAGCCAGAGCTCTCCTTCCAGCTTTTTAGTGGTTAATTGGAGATAACAATCATGGATCTTCTTCCTCAGGCTGGGTTGGAATTGTGACTCGCAGATCTCAACTTCCTGATTAGCCAGGACTACAGGTATGAGCTACTGGCACCTGGCTAGAAAAGCCTTTTTATTTTTTGAAACTAGGCATGAGGAGAGGCTTTGCCAAGGCCTAGAGCTGTCACTGTGTCCACAGCTCGCTCCCGTGAGTGCCCATCACTGAGATACTCAATGGCTTGGCTTGGTGAAGAGATGCAGGAAGGGGATGATGCTGAACCAGTAACAGTAGGCTAGGCCCAAACCATCAGAAATTTGGCCAAGGTCTTCCTCAGGGGTGGTGTCCTCACCCCCAGGTTCTCCCTGGGCAGAGTAGAAGGAGAAAAGCAGCACAGCACCAGGTTTTTCCAAGTGTTAACCGTTTATAAATAAGTACATTTGCTTTCGTACATACAGTTCATTGTACAGATGACGCTCTGTATACATGGGGCAGGAAAATGCATTCATTTGAACTTTTCACATCTATCTCACACAGCTCACATGTACAGACAAGAAAACTGCTCAAGCAAGTACAGCGAAGGAAAATGTCTTCCTTATGCACGGGGCTAGAGGCCTCCGCTGGGTGTGGGGCATCCCCACTGCACGAGTTCACAACTGTGTGGTGTTCAATATATCAGGATAGAGAACAAACATGCATTGGATAATATACTGTACAGAGAAAGTCTTTTACATCTGAGTTATAGAAAACCTAAAGGAAAACTAAGTGCATTAAAGCTTTTTCCAGCAAGTGTCTTGAAAGGACAGCAAAGAGGAAGAATCAAAATCATATTAGTACAAATCACTCTTTAATTGTAGACTGTACATGTCTGTACTAATTAAAATCATCTTAGATTTGGAGGAGACAGAACAGAGACACAGATGCTGCGCTAGATGGAAAGGAGGCCATGCCTGAGAATGGCACCTGCCCTGAGCCTGACAAGGAACTGGCCCCACTCAGCAGGAATCAGCCAAAGGTAAAAACAAGAAATCAGGACAGGAAGTGTAACTTACAGGAGTTCCAAAATAACCTGTGAAGGAAGCAGAGATCTAGAGCCAGCATCTCTAACTTAAAATTTTTTTTTTTTTCTTTTTCTCCAGCAAATTGGTACACAGTAAGGCAGGTACATTCAAGTACTGAATTTTCCAGAATTAACTCTCTGTCTGGTCCTGGGGACTAAAGGATATGAGTTGAGTCCTAGCCAGATTTTCTGGTTAGTGATTAGTGAAAGACAAATTCAGCCATCAAGTGCTACAAAAACAAGCAGCTAGGTCACTTTCTTTCCACAGAGTAGGTCTGTCTGAAAACAACATCCCCCCCGCCCCCCCCCCCCCCAACCATGCTGGCCTGCATATCCATGCTTCCAGCTGCAACCTGACTGCTCAGCCAAGTGTAGGGATCACAGAGTCAGTGGGAAGAAATGATAGGGTAAGGAGACATGAAAGTAACACTTGATTTTTGGTGTCCAATTATACGTTCATTTGGTACTGACTTTCAAAGCTCTGACTGTGACCATCATGTGGCCACAAGCATCTCAGGGTGGTTCAGCTGCTGTGAGGCATTGGACACCGAAATGAAGGTCACCAACACTTCAGCCCTTGAGTGGTCTGTATTACAAAAGGAGTTGATGAAGACCCAGTGATTATTCAAGTAGCTCTGCACAGTGGCTCACCAGCCCCATTGTGCTTGTGTCCAGGCCCCCAGCCAGCCACCTTTCCTTGGGAGCAGCCAGAGCCAAGTTCAAGGCATTGCATGGTGAAGGTTTCCATGACGCGTCTTTGTAGGTAGCTCTTACCCCTAAGCCCTTTGTTCATTGTTAGTCATGGTAGATGGTCGGTCTGGAGTTCCTAGAGGAAAAGGAGAAGCCACACCTTCCAGCAAGCGCGCGCAGGGAGGCAGGGCCCTGGGTGTGGCGCTTCGAAGGTCGGCTTCTTGAGAAGTGGGCAGCCCAAGGATAGGCAGGCAGGGTGAGTGAGTGAGGCTGCTGAACACTGGGAGCCTCAACAGGAGATGGGCACGGGGGTGGCACATCCTGCTTCCTGGGGGAGCCTGTTCCATTTTGTGGTAAAGATTCAGTGAACTGGTTTTATCCAAGGCATTTCTGCAGTAAAAAAATAACTATCTTTGAAACAAACCACTCGACTATGACTTTTAGAGTTATAAATAAAAGTTGGATGCTGAGAAGAACTGAAAGGAGGGATGCTCATGGGGGAAGAAAAGGGTCCTCCACATACCCACCCATCCATCAGAGCAAGGGAGTTCTACTCAACCTTCTCCCAGCCTTTACCTGGCTGAAGGTTCTAAGCAGGTAGCATTCAGAGTCTGTCTTGCTACAACTGGCAGAGTTGATTGAAGACTCCCTCAGGCCTTAGTCCCCTTCTTCCTGAACCTCACAGTCTATAGGCCTGCCTGCCGCCCTGGATGCAGCCCCTCCAGAGGGGGCATAGCCATTCTTTGCTACCAGACAAGCACGTTGCAGAGCCACAGTGACACCTAGCGGTAAGTATGGTGAAGCACAAGTGACGTCCACATATCCCATAAAGTCTAAGGAAAAATACTTATGGATATTAAATTAGATACTGGTTTTAACTTTTCTATTGGGTACATCTCTGGAATATAAAAATACCAATATTTAGAGGGGGGTTCATAAACTACTATACAATATAAGGATGGAGAACACCTTTGTCTAAGCTGTTCTGTTCACAATAATTTAGGAAAAGTGTTTAAGAATAATCCAGGCTTAACTAAAATCAGCCAACTGGTATATCTGGACGACCTGGAATACTGTACATGATTCTAATTAGTGGAATTTTCCTGAGCCATCAAGTTTAAGTTAAACACATCTAAAAAGGGGTACATGGGAGAGGAACAAGAAGGGTTTGTGCTCTATTAACTTGGGACTTTAATAGCGCACATCTACAACCCGGACAGATACAACAGCAGATACAAAATGGTCTCCATTTTGTCCGTGCCAAATTCTCATGTTATATAGGCTTTCCCTTTACTTTGTAAATAAACATTAATTTTTAATTGTTGTGTGCCTTACTGATCCAGTAAATAAAGTAACCATGTCTCAGGAGTCCCTAAGAAAATTGCTGGAAAAGCACTTTAAAATCACTGCAAATATTTTTTAAGTTTTAAAAATTCTTAGTCTTTTTGATGCTTATATACAAGTTATTTCTTGTGCTATAAGTGTACCCACTGCTTGATTTCTTTCTTTTCCTTGTTTTTTTTTTCCCTCAAAAATACACTAAGACAAGAGCGATTCTGCTAATTTCTAATGAAGACACTACTCACACTTAAATATCCAGTATTTATCAGTTACAAATTCAAACAGTAAAGTGCACCCATTTTTAGACATGATGTGATGGAAACCCACTAGTGCAAGAATTCTGAGAAACGGAACACACATTTTGGTGAGAAACCTGTAAGCTGAAGTTTATCACCAGTTTCCATTTCCGGATGATGTGAGTTGGGTGAGCAGAACTTGCCAGTTTCATTTGAAAAATTTTCCTCCCACCCAAAGCCAGACATTGATTTGGCAGATGCCTGTTGCTAAGGAAGGGGCGTCTCTAAAATACAGTACTAAGATCGTCCTATGGCAGTGAAGTAGCAAAACAGGGCACAGGCAGTCGGCTCCCAAAAGAAGACTCTGGTCTCCTGCCCTAGGAAGCTCCTGCTGGCGTTTTCTAGTCAAGAACACTGGCACCCAGTCATGATATTCACTCTCTTATGATGGCTAAAAAAGAATCACATTTGACTGCTGATATTTTAGGTGTTTTGCGCAGTGAGGCAGAGATAATAAATCTTTTTTTTTCCTGGAAAACCCAGAGAGAGACCCTGTGGAGGAGTGATATCAGTGGCGTCATTGTAAGACCAAATGACCTTCCCAAACTACTTGGAGAAGTAAGTGGTGTGCATGACGCTCTGGACAGGTAGGGACTCTTTTCTAGTAGACAGAAGTTCTTTAGAATATAGCAGTGCCCCACTGGGAGATGGTTTGAAAGGGATAAGATACTGAGAGACCAACAGGGCTGAGGCCTTGGGCAGAAGGGGAGCTGAGAAGCCTCAAGTGGGTTCGCAGCTCTACAGGTTAATACTACAGCTAAACCTATCATCTTGCTGATGTGGGAGATGAAAAGACATGATACAGATAGATGGATGGATAAATGGGTGGATGGGTAGGTAGGTCGAGGCCACTGATGCTCACAATGGTGTTGGAGTAGGAGGCAATCCTTATACATCAGAGTGCAAAGTGTCTGGTTCAGATGAGTCCTGCTCTGCTTTAGGCTTGGGGGCGCTGAGGGGGGGGGGTCCATCTACTTGATAGAATCTAAATTAGTAAAGAAACATTTCTGGTCTCAGCTTTGTTCCTTTCAGAGAACGTGGAAAGGAGTAGTCAAAAGCTGGATTTTACTCAGGGAACTGCTCTTTCTGTAGCCCTTTATTTACAAGAGCAGAATGATTCCTAAAAACAGAAGACAAATAATGTTCCTTTGTTTAGTTTTAGCTGTTTGTTGGCTTGAGATGCTTAGTTTTAAGAGCTTATGGCCAGTTAGTGCCAGGAACATGCTAAGGCTTTGGTTTCTGCAATTTTGCTATCCATCTCTTAGTGGCCTCAGTCTCTCAAATGTTAGATTAACAAACAACTGTAAGACCCAGATGTACAGACAGTGATGGGAGAAGAGACCTGTTGTCTGTCTTGTGCCCCTACCCCCGGCTACAAAACAGAGCTGAAAGGGGTTTGTCGTTGCTCCTGAACACTTTGTTGTTTCTCATATTCAAGTATCACCCCAGTGCTCCTACAACAAGACACAATTTCTTTGATAGTAGACAATGAAACTCTAGGTCTACATATGGAATTAGGTAACAACTGGCATGGAAGGGAATGGCCCTAGATGGAAACGCTGGGGAATGTCTTATGGTCCCGAGAGCATCCAGTTAGCTTCCTGAAGAACAACTTTCTTCACAGCTGGGTTTGAAAAAAAAAAAAGGGCCAGCAGAACAGAGCTGGATTCCAGTGAAGATGCAGCTAACAGGGTTACTGCATCAGCGGCCATTGGAACAGTTTGTTTTGAAGAATCTGATACTCAATGATGTTTCCTGATCTAAAAAGGAGACTTATTCCAGTTTCTGTAGCCTTTCAACTGAGATACAGAAAACTCCTATCTTTTTTTTTCCTTCTGTCTTTCTATGTATCGATTCCCTTCTCTACCTCTAGAAAATCAGTAGTTTTTAGGGGTTAGCTGTTAAAAACATGCAGAAAAATTCTTAGTGAATTATTTAAAAATACCCAGAGTTCTCAATGATTTTACTTGGCTGACCAACATTTTTAAAGGGCTGGTTGTTTTCTAAATGGTCTTAAAATGCCTCTTGGAAAATCAATGGAGTGACATTTCAAATAGCTATACTGGGGTTTTCTTTCCATTTAACAGACTTAGTTCTTCTTTTTCTTCTCTCTCTCCTAGATCCTTTTGCCCCATAGGAAGGCCAGCAGCAGTGCAAAGCAACCTTCTGGACCTGATGACTGCGGGGAGCTTGCAGTGAGCGGGAGGAGGCCATGACACAGGAATGCACTGGGGTTGGCTATCTGGTAATACTGGATAAGAATGCAAAGGCAAAGGGGCATCACACTCTTTCTAAAGTTCCTAGAAGAAAACGAACAAGAACATCTTACTTTTTAGAAAAAGAAAAAGACATTTATACAACAAGAACATCAGTGAAAGCGATTGTCTCCTGGAAAAAGCTGACCAGTGTGTCTGATCTCCCTGGGTTAAAGCACACGGCACAAAAATCTCCTCGTTGGCATTGGAAGAGAGGGAGGGAGAGAGCATGTGGCTAGGGCACAGACAAGAGAAACTGAAGTCCTGGCTCACTGAGGCCAGCTTCCCAGTCGGCTGCATGCAAAGGATTTCAGCATGTGGGCTGCCACCTCTGAACACCACACAGAAACTACATGAGAAATTAAGCCAGAGAACTACCTCAAATGTGGAAACCAAGCCTGAAAATGTGTGCAGTGAAAACATACGGGTCTCACTCCAACAAACGTCTTTTAAACATTAGACTCCACAAATGGTCTCTTTGGTTTGATAGGCGATGTCTGCCCTTGTCGCGAGTCCCGGGACAATTGCCTGTACAGGTTGTCCTGGTATGCCTGAGCCACAGGTAGGGTCCGAGCAACCTTCACATCAGGATAGGAGGAGGCCTGGCTGACTCTCTCCAAGAGGTCTCCACGGGACCCATTAGCCAGCATCCCATGTGGGCTGTAATAATCGTCCTCCAGCAAATGGCCATTTTGTGCATTGTTGGTTTTGTTATAAAAGGCAATGTTACTGATGGATGACGGTGGACTGAAGGACTCGGGTTGAGGCAGGTTGCCTGGAGACGTGGGACTGAGAACGGTATCGACTGATGACACTGCCCAGGTCCGATTCTGCTGGTGAAGGTGGGGGTATTGTTGAGTCCGGGCTGTTTTATCTATGATCCCCATGAATGGTGTGGTCCTGGATCGGGTGGGCTCACTGGGGTAACCTCCCTGAGTGGGAGACACGGGTGACAACTCGTCACATGACCTATCATATGCCGGTTTCAGTGGGATCTCCATTTGTTGAATTGAGGAAGAAGGCCGGAAAGTAGGAGTTAGGTTGGAGGTGGAGGAGATGCTATTGCTAGATGGAGAAAAGCGAAGGCCCACACTCTGGGAGTGCAGCAATGGCCTGGGGGTTGGTGGGTGGGGCTTGATTTCACTAGGGTTGACACTTATAGGTCTTCTGATTAAATGAGACACGTCAGGGGAACCTAGTTGGCTGGAGGAGCGTTCCAGATCTAGTTTTGAGTGACAGACTGGGTAATAGGATGCGGACTGGCTTCTCCCAATCTGTGGTGTCTGGCTGTATCGCATGCCACCTCGATATGCAGAGGAAGGTCGCTGTGGAAGGTCTTCTTTGGTCAACCCTCCATGTTGACAGATGGCACCCGCACTCAGGCTGGCTTGGACATGCTGCACAGGTCTCCCATCCCCTACGATTCCCCCTATTGACCCTTGATAAACCAACCGGCTCTGACTTACTCCCATATCTCCTTGTGAAGACTGGTATTTACTGGCCATGGAATGGGCTACTTGGCCATAGGCCCCTGTAGGGATGACAGTGCTTGAATGAACTGCTGAGCTGGGCTGGTTACTTCTCACAATCTGGGCCTTGGCGGGCTGCAGCCTGAGCCCTTGCTGGGGAACTGCTACAGGAAGCTGAGGCATCTGGTATGGCCGCTGGGCCATTTTGGATAATGGAGATTTTGGTCTGCCAGGAAGCTGACTAACATTTGTTTCTTGCTGATAGCGCACGGGTGAACCTGACTGGGATCTATAGACACTCATGCTCTCAGCTGGAGGGCTAGCCCGATACTGAGGGCCTCTCCGGAGAGGGGAAGGGGGAGGGCTTGGGTATTCTTTGCTCTGCCCTCCCACAGGAGGGGGGCTGAAACGGTAAGATCCACCCTGATGAGCTGGGGAAGTATGTGGTGGACTAGGCCTGTAGTGAGAGTTCTGGTGAGTTGGAGAAAGAGCAGGCGAGGTGGACTGATATCCCTGCCTAGTAGGGGAACCTACAGAACTATTGGACCGGAAGTCAAAAACCTGATGAGAGCCAAGAGGTGAACTAGAGATGTAGGCTGAATCCCGATGAGCTGGAGAGGAGGGTGGGCTCTGGATTATTGGCAGCCCCTGGCTGGGTCGAGCCTCTGTCTGGAGGCCAATGGAAACATTCTCAGCATCCTGTTCCAGGTACTCCTCCTCAAATATGTCTTGGACAGAATATATATCTTCATGTTGTGGTTCAGGCTCTGTTTCTTCAGGTAAGTCCTGCTGAGGCTGCTGTGATGGTGGTGGTGGCTGCTGTTGCTGCTGCTGCATCTGTCTACACTCCTCCTCCACTCTTATCAGGAGTCTCTGGATTTCACGGTTGTTTGGACACAGCTTGATGGCCTCGTTCAGATCCTCTAAAGCTGCTGCAAACTGTCTGCTTGACAAAATGCAAACACATAAACTGGAGTTATTCTGAATCAAAAGAAATCACCAAGAGCTAAAACTATGGCCACTATTTCAGAGGACTGTGGTGGCATCTGTGGGAGTCTGGGGAGGTTAGGTTCTGTTTGATTTGTAAGAAATCAAACAGCAGATTGTCATTCCAGAGCCCAGAATGATTTCCTAGCCCTTTTAGCTTCCATCTTCCTTCTGGACTCTCTGGGTTTTGTGGAGAAAAGTCCCCATTGTGTCAGTCCAGCCAGGCCCTTCGGGAAGATTCTCTGAGTACCCAAATGTATACCAGCAGCATGAGGGTTATATGGGGTTGTCATTTACAGTGTCACTGTCAAGTAGCATTAGTAGGAATAATGTTTAATAGGAACAATAATTAGTGTAATATTAAAATCTTGCTGATCCAGCAGACATTTTCAAAATATATTCTCAGCATTTTGGCTATAAATGGTAGGCCTGTTCTAGAGAAGAACCTCGTCCTTCCTCTGCCGTTTCTACCTTGTAGCACTGTTGTATCTTATGACACGAGGTCAAAGTCAGGCAGGTATTTAAGCTTGCTGACTAGGTGACTCAGGGCCGAGCTGAGATTCTAATTTGCAAATAAGGAGATGAACTGTCAAGGCAGATTTCCATCCTCTCTGCTAATACTGCCTGGAAAAGGGACAACTGGACTGTGGTAAGGAGAATTTCACAAGAAAACTCAGTAGTCAAGTTTCTGTAAAAATTTTGCTACTTTAGCTAATTAAACTAATATATCACTTCCATGGTCATTACTAACCTTATTTTCATGTTTAATTTTTCATGTTATATCCCCTCTAGTCACAGCAGTGAACCCAAAGCAGGCCTTTCCCATTTAGAATCTGGGAGAAGGTGGGGTGCTGGGCAGTTTAAGTCAATGACAGTGACAAGTTACCCAAAGAACAATGACAGAAGATTCTAGGTCTTTCTAGAGGCTTTCATGCCCAGTAGCCAAACTATATTAGATGGGCATATGGATGGTGCCTGGCATTTCTCTTGGGTCCCTCAATACTGGCAGCAGGAGTGTGTGTGTGTGTGTGTGTGTGTGTGTGTGTGTGTGTGGTGTGTGTGTGTGTACAGGTGAGGAAGGTTGATGCCACCAGACTTTGAGCAGAATCCCATATGGAGAGCTAAATGATCCAGGGAGTAGTCAAATGCCTGTAAGAAAAGAGAGGAGGCTGCGACACTCAGTGACCCATCCTGTTTTTCCCTTTAAAAGGGCTGGTGGGATGTTTCGCTTAAGCAACCTTCTTCTGATATCTGCTTTGAGGTTGAAAAGTGAGACACGGCAGAGTCTTCTTGAAACAAAATGTCATTCTCCATTTTGTCTTGCTACCCAAATAAAGAGCTCTTGTTTCCATAGCTCAGAAGATTTTGATTTTGAGCTAAATACTGTTCTGTTATTGGAGCCACCCCCAAAGCCTGGCTCTATTCAAGTACAGACCCATTTGTCCCAAAGTGACCTACATTGCCTTGGCCAAATTTTTAGAGAAGAGACCTCTTGCTTTTCACTCTTTCTCTCTCTCTCTCTCTCTCACCTGCTGCTGCGTTTTGCCCTTGCTCTTGCATAGTAAGCTTCATAAGATTTCGGTTTCAGCTCCAGGGCCTTAGTAGCAAATTCCTCCGCCATTCCAAAATCCTGTCATTACAATAGGTGTGCAAATGAGTCATTGAAGAGATATGAAAAATAGACAACTTGGATAAAACAAATTATATTTACATTTTTGACATTTATGGATAAAACACCTGGGATTCTGGACATGCCTGACATAGCTTTAACCATGTGATCTACAGACTGAAAATTTCCTGTGCCTTTGCCCTGTGTGGTCTTGAAACCAGTTAATGGACTTCATCTGTCCAGAGAATTAAAAACCTAATTTGGCTTCTGTTTTTTTGGCTATAATTACTTTTAGCCTAGAAGCCAAATGTCTAGTCAATCTCCTGAAATTGGCATCCTGTACTCTTTCTAGCACATATATGTATGAAGCAAACACAGACACATCTTGTATCGAACACCCTGTTTTATACCCCTTTCCCCCTGTTGCACCCTCTAGACCTTGGCTCTTCAAGAATCTAGGAAGAAGGGGTCTGAGGAAAGGTAGACCTCACTGATTATGGAGACTAGATGCACAGGGATGTCACACAGCCTTGGGCTCAATTCTCTGGTCCACTTCATAACTCCTCAGAGTGTGCTGGGTATTTTGATATCCATAACTACTTTAGCCGTAGGATTAAGCATAACAAAACGTTAAGTGTCATTTATAGTTCCTGGCACATCACAAGTACTTGATACATTGTATTCTGAATAGCCTTTCCTGACCTGTTTCTCCTCTTGTCTAGTTTCTTACGTAGTAAACATTTGAAATAAAAAAAAAAGAAAGGATCTTGGCTCTGACTGGGATCTATGCTGTCATTGGAGATCCTTGGAATAACACGGTCTCATCTTCCTCTAAGAACCCTCAGGAACAGGTATCAGAGGAGACAATGCTAAGTGAATAGAGATTTTTTCCCCCCAGAGCTGAATGAACTCAGAACCTGGCACTTAAGTGCCAAGTGCTCTTCTACTAAGTTAAATCCCAAACTCGAAGTCCTTTTTTTTTTATTGACATTCCTTTAAAAAATAAGCTAAAGGAGGGGCTGGGAAGGTGGCTCAGTGGTAGAGTGCTTGCCTTGCATGCCTGAGGCCCTGGGTTCGATTCCTCAGCACCACATAAGCAAAAAGAAAAAGCTGGAAGTGGCGCTGTGGCTCAAGTGGTAGAGCACTAGCCTTGAGCTGAAGAGCTGGGGGACAGCGCCCAGGCTCAGAGTTCAGGCCCCACGACTGGACCCCCCCAAAAAGAATAAGCTAAAGGAGAAGCTAAAAAACAGTCTGAGACTGTAGCCTCTGGTTACATTCAGAATCCCTAAGGCAGAAAGCAAGGCATCTCGGGAGAGCAAAGGCTCTGAAGCACAGGTTAAAAAAAAATTAAGGGAAGTTTTCTACTGAAAACAGACTTCAGGAGCTCAGCAGTATGGGTCCATGGACAGTAATTATTAGCTTTCTGAATAACAGGAAACTGGAGAAAAAATATATAAGTTGTATGAGCCATCTTCTATCCCTTTTGCCTAGTTTGTTCATTTTTTTCTCTTATGATACTAATTATTTTGAAGAGTATGGGAGTACTTTTATCTCCTCCCCTCCCCTTGTGCTAGGAATTGAACTCAGAGCCTTGAACATGCTGGGTAAGCACTGTTTCACTGGGCTACATCCTCTGCCAAAGAAGACTTTATATTTATTTTTTCTTTTTGTGCTGGTCCTGGGGCTTGAACTCAGGGCCTAGGTACTGTTTTTGAGTCTCTTTTGTTCAAGGCTTATGCTCTACCAATTGAGCCACAGTTCCACTTCCATCTTTTTTGTGTGATTAATTAGAGATAAGAGTCTCATAAATCTTTCTGCCTGGGCTGGCTTTGAAATACGATCTTCAGATCTCAGCTTCCTGAGTAGCTAGGATTAGAGGTGTGAGCTATCAGCACCTAGTAAAGAGGACTTTTAAAAAGCCAAGTATCTGCTAGGGGGAAAAGTCAGAGGGGTCTGCAGATACTTCTGAGTTCTGCTTCATTCTCAATCTTCTGGGATATAGGAAGCCCATGGGGCTGTTTCTCTGGTTTCAGAGAAACAAGATGCAAAAGAACCTCACTGCCTTACCAAGACATCTTCTCCTCTGCCATTTCCCTCAAAAGGAACGTCTTCCATGCCCCCAGTCCTCTGCAAGCCCTAACTGTGTCCTCGGAGACAGCCAAGTCCACCTTAGGGCTCTTATCACTGGCAAGTTTAGGACCTGGATAGATTATATTAGGACATATACACAAATGATCTTTTTGGATTTGATAGCAGATCCCTTGCCACTGAGGCTGAAATCTTGCTTCTGTTCAGCTGAGTTCTTTACAGTGTTCCTGTTTGGCTTGGATGATTTTTATCTCATTAATTGTTAGAGCTCAGGCTGGTGGATGACAGCAATTCCAGACTTGATTGAAGTAATTCCCAATATCTAAGAAAGGTTTCTTGGTACAGGAGTAACTGTATGATAAAGGAGCTGTGGCTGAGAGCATCTGAGGTATCTTTACAAGGCAGGCAAGAAGGACCAAGGACTAGGGAGACAAAAGAGGGCCAGGAAGAGTTCTAAAATTCCCTCCAGAGCAAGAAGAGACATGGCATGCTGGAATATAAAGATAAGGGAGTGAGAAGTTCAAGAATAGCCTCAGAAACTAAAATTTGAAGACCATGGTTCTGTGTTCTTTTCCTAGCTCTTCCATAAATGATTAGGACATATACTATAAGGGAGGGGAATGACTAAAATCTCTATCTAATTACATTTGGACTGCTAGTGATTTCTGCCTTCACATTTTCCTAAAGACCAGACAATTGACTTCGGGGAAGAGGTTGATGATTTTCCAATCTCTTTCAGTGGGGATTATAAAAATTCAGAATGCTACAAAGTATTCAGCTTTTCTATAGCTTGACAGATTGTACCTACACTTGTCTTTGAAATTGCAAATGTCAGTGTTCTGTGAAGGACAACCAAGTTCCAAATGGGACAGAGAGGATTTCAGGGGCCTGGTACAAGCTACTGAGTGGCATGAACTTTCAACTTCTGTGGCTGCAGAAAGGAAGTGAATGAAAGGGACTTACATTCATTTTCCTGCGACATCGAGAGAGGTTGAGAAGGAGAGACACCTTTAGTTCCCGGAAGGTTTTCAAGTCCTCACCAAACCCTTCTCTAGGAAACTTCTTCAGAGCATACTGGTAGCGCTGAGCAGCTTCCTTTACTTTACCTTTCTAATGGGGAGTACAAGATGGAAAAGTATACAGTTGGTCTGCTAAGCAGCTGAATAGATTTGGCCACTACTCTTTTCCATCTCTCAGAGTTGTTGCTAAAGCTAAATCTTTCCCCCTCCTTGATGGTAAGAATAGAAGGGAATAGTCTTTTCTATTGGAAACTTACCTTGTAGGAAAATAAAGGCTGAAGAGAATACTCAAGACACAAACCAGAGAAGCAAATAATTACCAATGGAAGGCCTACTTATAGCCTCCCAACAGGATTCCAAAGAGTGAATCTAGCCCATTTCAAAGTTTATTTATTCATAAACTGCCCCCCTTTTCTCCCCCACAACTTTCTGGTTTGAAGCACTGCCTTATTTCTAGCTTATCACCTTTGCTTTCTTATGAAGGGTATGGAAACTAAAATGGGCAGTGGTGGCTTCCCTAAGCTTATGGCAGGAAATAACATCAACCTATGGTCCTTTTTGTGGAAAAGGCATGTGGTAGGTAGCACTACAGAAGTAAAGCTTGGAATTTGTAATTTCACCTGACTTTTTGGAGACATTTTCCAAGATTTAGGAAATTTATGACCACTTGTAGTTATACAAGCTTTAAACTTTTTTTTTTTTTACATTTTTGTATTTGAAAATCTGTAAGCTGAGTCCTAACAAAACAAAACAAAACAAAACAAAACAAAACAACAAAACAAAAACCAGGCATTACCATCCCCTCTTTTTTTCTTTTTTTTTTTTTTTTGGGTCCGGTCATGGGGCCTGAACTCTGGGCTTGGGCGCTGTCCCTCAGCTCTTCAGCTCAAGGCTAGCGCTCTACCACTTGAGCCACAGCACCACTTCCGGCTTTTTTCTTTTTGCTTATGTGGTGCTGAGGAATCGAACCCAGGGCCTCATGCTTGCAAGGCAAGCGCTCTACCACTGAGTCACCTTCCCAGCCCTTACCATCCCCTCTTATCCACCAGTTTATTCCTTCTGTATAGCTGTGACTTCCCCAGGTATCCCAAATCTTTTATCTTTCCTATGACATTTTTTACTAAGAGAGATCAGGAGTCTTCCAAGGTAGAATTCTGGGCAAGAACAGTAATAGTTTTGCCTATGTTCCTTAGGCATAGGACTCCTTACCTTGGAATACCAGAAGTTATGTTATGATTAGTTCATTAGATATATAAGTAATGCCATTCTGAGGTCTATAAATATGATACCTAGAATCAGGAAGACTTTTAAGGCTTATAAAATCACGGTTAGGCAGGGTTTAAGCTTCCAGAAAGCTCTAGATTATCACGAATCTCACTCAAAGGGTACTCAGGAAGCAGAGTTCTGCTCCCAGGGAGCTTATACTTCCAACAGAAAGGAAAAATGACATACTTCAGAATCGTTTTCCCATCTTTTAGGTCTAGAAATGTCTTAGGGATGCCCACTGCTAAATCTGGGCCAGAGTTGCATTCACTTTCAGGAGAAGATGATCTAGCTAACCTGATGATTTTTGGAACTTCTCATGGGCCATGTGTATGTACTGAGGTACAGAGATTATAGCTTGAACTTTTGGTACAAAAAGATTATGTGTATGTGTATATGTATATGCATGTGTGTGTGTGTGTGTGTGTGTGTGTGTTAATGTGTGCATGTGTGTGTTAGTACTAGAGCTTGAACTCAGTGCCTATTGCTCTTTTTTTGCTCAAGGCTGGTGCTCTAGCATTTGCATCACACCTCTAGTTCTGGCTTTTCTGGTGGAGATACAGGTCTCACAAACTTTCCTGTTTAAGCTAGCTTTGAACTTAGATCCTCAGATCTCAGCTTTTAGAGTATCTAGAATTATAGATGTGAGCCCTCAGTGCCTGGCTTCTAATACCTTCCTTTATTGTAGTCAGTGAGTGACTTCAAACACATTTTATGAGTCCTATTTTTCTTGGTTTCCTTATCTTATTTGAGGATGCTGATTATTAAAACTATTATTAAACTTTTAAATTTGTGTACATATTGAATATGAAATCTAAGATCAATAGACAAATAGCTGTACTACATAAATTTTCTTGAACTTTCTCCACTTAGCAAATTCTGTGTAAGATTTTACATTACTACCTGTTAGTGACCATGGAAAACTAGGTTAATCAGCTGAAGTCGGGTACAAGCTATTCTTACTCTCTTGACAAGGCAAAATGTCAGGATCCCCACCTTAGGAACCATTACTAAGAAATGGCATTTCCTGCTCCCCGCTTTTTTAAAAAGATAATGTCTTCCTATGTAGCCTCCAACTTGTAATCTTCCTGTCTCATACTTCCTAGTGCTGGAGATTATAGCCATGTGCCATTATACTTGAATATGAAAAACATAATAATAATAATAATAATAATAATAGTCAAGATGTAGACGATTCTGCATATAGAAAATAGACAATGCTGGGGTCTGGTGGCTCATGCCTGTAATCCTAGCTACTCAGGAGGCTGAAATCTAAGGAACACAGTTTGAAGCCAGCCTGGGCAGGAAAGCCCATGAGACTTTTTTTCTCCCATTAACCACCAGAAAACCAGAAGTGGTGCTGTGGTTCAAAGTGGTAGAGGATTAGCCTTGAGTGAAAATGATCAGGGACAGTGCTCAGCCCTTGAGTACAAGCCCCATGACCAAACAAAACAAAACAAAAAAACCCAACTCCCCTCCCAAAACAAAACCCCAATAACAACAAAAATAATCAGGAAACTGGTCCTCCTCCCCTCACCTTATAAAACATGTCCCCCTCTTCCATCAGCTTGCTCAACAGGATTATCATGATGTCTGGTTTGGAGGTGGCCATCGCCCATGTGGCTGGACCTGTAGTGTACAGGATGCATGATGGGTAAAAAACTCATACAATGTAAGGGTGGTAGGAAGCTAGGTGAAAAAAACATCCTGGGGGATTTTCTGCTGAGAGAACAACTTGCTCCAGAATAATTACCTCATTTTTTATACCTGGGAGTATTTTAGTGACTCCCACTGCGAAGAAACTGTGTTGGCTTTATTTGTAATTCACCTTAAAATAAGAATGTCTGAACTGTCTGAACTTGTGCCACGGGAGGGCAGCAAAGCCTATTTACTGCATACGGGCACACAATGGCTTAGTATGGAATTATTTTAAATCAGGAAAATTGGGGAAATAATTTAAAGGTCACCACAAGATTAAAAAAATTAAAAAGATTATTTAGTTTTGTTGTGACACTCAAACCTCCCAAATATTCAGACTCTTAAAAAATTTAAATATGTCCTTTTGCAGAAGGGAAACCATTTAAAACTCTAAAGATTCCCTTAATTTGTAAGTACCAAATAGGATTCCCTGGGATTCACTTTAAACCATGAACATAGTTCAAATGTCAGATAGACATGAAACAAAGCAACATTACTGAGACTACTCACAAAAAGAAAGAAAAGGTTAAATTGATTAGTTTACAGATGCCTGAATTGTTTACCACTAAGCTTTTCAGGGTTAGTTATTAAAAGCTCAAGTTATTCTCTACAACAGTCATTTAAAAAGTCTTCTTTTAAGGTGAAGTAAATTAAAAGATTAGAGGTGTAGGGAACTCATGCAGGCTAAAATCAAAGAGGAGAAGGCAAAGCTGACCAAGCCATCAGACCACGCCTGATGCTGACAGCGGTGAAATATACCTCGTGGGCGACTCGGTAACGTCTGACAACCTTCAAAGAAAGGAGAAAACAAAAAGTTGTAGGAGAGGAAAAAAAAATGGATGATGGTGAAAAAAAAAAAGAAGGAAAGAGCAGCAGTGAGAGGCAGGCAGCAAAAAAGCCAGCATATCAGCCAACCCTTGTCTACAGGTCTGTGGGGCGGGGGAGGAGCTGGGGCAGCAGCAGCAGGGGCTTGAGAGTCTGAAGCACATACAGAGCAAGGGAAAGCAAAGGCTCATGGCACTGCAGGGTTTCAAGATGCTTGCAGGGTGGGGCTGATACAGAGGCAGCACAAAAGATGTGCTTAAGCTTAGTGTAACCTCCTGGTTAAGGCTGTTACAGGGGCATGGCAGAGAACCATATGACTGGACACAGGGGACTACAGCCATAGCTCATGGTTGCTCTCTCTGGGCTAGTAGTCTTTCTGTTCACTGGGACAGTAACTGGGCCAGCGTAGAGGGGAAACTTTATACACTCATACCAAATACCCAGGGCAGCCAGACCACTGGACCAGTCTGGCCCCTGGGCACAGATGGCCAATACCATCTTTCTTTCTCTTACCTATTTTGGCTCCTTTCTTCAGGAGAGTGACCACAACAGAAGTGTTCCGGCACCCCACTGCCCTATCCAAAGGGCGCATCCCACTGTAGTCAACATGCTCAATCATGGCCCCATGATCCACCAGGAACTGGACCTAGGACATGGACCATGAAGGACAGTTAACACAGGTACAGTGGCTCAGCACTGCCTCACTGAGGGATGTGGCTACTGCTAGTTTTCCAGTTGCTGGTCTGAAAGTGGCTGTAACTATGTATTTCAGATGACAGGTATAGTTTTGGTTTTCAACAGTGTTTTGCAAACTCTTGCCCTCTAGGAAGTACAGATATAGATCTGTCAGTAATTATCAAAATATTACTTTGATCTAAATAATTTTTGATCTAAGACAAGATCTTTGATTTAAGTGGAGAATGTCTTCTATTCCTACTTTACTGAGGTTTGTTTAAAGGTACTCACCACCTCAGCATCACCATAGAAGGCTGCCAGGTCCAGTGGGGTGCGGCCATTTTTGTCAGCATGATCTGTGGCAGCTCCATTATCTACCAGAGAACGAACTACTGACAGATGACCCTTCAAGCAAGCCCAGCTTAGGGCTGTCAATCCTTCTTTGTCCATTAGAGCAATGGAGGCCCCTAAAAGAACAAGAACATATAAAAATTTATAGCAGGAGAGAAAGATTGTACTTAAGGTACATGCTCTGTTAAAAGAATACCTTTCATGTTACCACGTTAAGGGTGACCTTAGCTGGGCATAGTGGTATTCTTTTATAATCCCAGAATGTGGGAGGTCGTAGCAGGAAGATTGTTAATTTGAGGTAAAACCTTGTCTTAAACAAATAAAAAACAAGCTGGCTGGATGCCAGTGGCTCACCCCTGTAATCCTCGCTACTAAAGAGGCTAAGATTTGAGGGTTGTGTTTCGAAGCTAGCCTGGGCAGGAAAGTCCATGAGACTCTTATCTCCAATAAAATACTCAGAAAAAGCTGGAAGTGGTGCTTTGGCTCAAGTGGTAAAACACTAGTCTTAAGCAAAAGAAGCTCAGAGACAGTGCCCAGGTCCAGAGTTCAAGGCTCAGGACTTGTGAGGAAAAAAACCCAAAACAAAATTAGAACAAAAAAAATCCCTAAAACAAAATAACACCAACAAAATCACAAAGGGCTAGGGCTACACTGAGTGGTACAGTGGTTGCCTAGCATGTTTAAGGTCCCAGTTCGATCACCAGCAATATCAAAAAAAGAAAAAGAAAAAGAAAAACTGACTCTGTTATATCACTTATATTTCAATAAAACTATTGAAAAATTGATCTTACAAGCTACCAATAGAATGGAGTCCAGTTAGTTGTCTTACTATATAATTAACATCTTCCACAGTCTATTCCTAAAATTAATCTCTATCCTTAAGTTATATTATTCTCTACTTTGGTGAAATGGATGTTTTCAGTGCTTCTATCATCTCCCTCCTGTAAATGTTTCTGCATTCTCACTTCTGGTTATATTGTCCCTGTATGTGGAATGCTTTTTTCCCTCTTCTGACTTTACTTTCTTCTACCCACAATCACAGATTCTCCTGCCTCCTAGAAGCTTTTCCCAGTTCACCATCACTTCATTTTAAATGCTCTTAACTATTTCTCTTATCTGTGTTTAGATATCACACTTGCATGTAATAAATTCTCAATGAATGTTTTCTGAACTGAGTGGAAGTCTTCCATTTATAATAGTGTAAACTCCTTGAGAGATTCTCACAAAATAGGTGCCCAGAACATATATACTACCAATGATAGTGCCAGGCTACTTTTTCCTTTGGTAAAGTGGGGGTAAATGTGTTCATAGATGGATACTGAGCACAGGTCACGATGGAAATTCTGTTTTCTCTAAAACAGTCCAGTGCATAGAAATGTAAGTACAATGGGGGTACCAGAGGGCTAGGGGATGGAGGAATTGGGGTTAGGGGCACAAGCTTTGTTATATAGGAGGAATAAATTCAAGGGATTTATCGTATATGACTAGAATAACCATGTTGTATACCTGAAAAATACTCATTTAAGCATTTCCACCATAAAAAATATGGTAGGAAGTGGCGCTGTAGCTCAAGTGGTAGAGCGTTCACCTTGAGCTGAAGAGCTGAGGGACAGTGCTCAGGCCCAGAGTTCAAGCCCCATGACCAACAACAACAACAAAGAATTGTATAGTGAAATAGCTTGCTTTAATTATTCTACTTGTGCACATAAAGCAAAACATCATGCTTATATATACCTGCAGAATGTATAATTTTTTTCTTTTTTCTGTGCTGGTACTGGGGCCTGATGCCAATGCCTGGGTATTGCCCATCAACTTTTTCACTCAAGGCTGGCATTCTCCCATTTAAACCATAAGTCTCCTTCTGGTTTTTGCTGATTAATTGGAGATAACAGTTTCACAGGCTTTCTAGCTCCAAATCATAATTCTCAGATATTAGCTTCTTGAGTATCTAGGATTACAGGCATGAGCCTCCAGTGCCTAGCTAGAATGTGTACCTTTTATTTATTTATTTATTTTTTGGTCAGTCATAGGGCTTGAACTCTGAGCCTGAGTGATGTCCCTCAGCTGTTCAGCCCAAGATTAGCGCTCTACCACTTGAGCCATAGTGCCACTTATGGTTTTCTTTCTTTCTTTTTTTTTGTCCAGTCGTGGGGCCTGAACTCTGGGCCTGGACACTGTCCCTCAGCTCTTCAGCTCAAGGCTGGTGCTCTACCACTTGAGCCACAGCACCACTTCCGGCTTTTTTCTTTTTTGCTTATGTAGTGCTGAGGAATCGAACCCAGGACCTCATGCATGCAAGGCAAGCACTCTACCACTGAACAACCTTCCCAGTCTCACTTATGGTTTTCTGATGGTTTATTGGAGATAAAGAGTTTCACAGCTTTTCTTGCTTTTCTTACCCGGGCTGGTTTTGAACTGTGACTCTCAGATCTCAGCTTCCTGAGTAGCTAGGATTACAGGCATGAGCCACCAGTGTCTGGCTAGAATGTGTACCTTTAAACACCTTAAATACATGCAATTTTTTTAATTTGTGAATTAAAATAAATAAAAAGAAATTCAGAGTTTACTTAGCTCTCTTCATAAACGTGTCCCACTTGCTTAGTCCCTTTTATACTCTGCATTTGCTTTCCAGCAGCATTTAGTTTCAACTGTAAGGATCAAACATACTGGACATACAATATACATTTGGTTCTTAGATATAGGTGGTAAGCATTTGGAAAGCAAGGAGCCTATAATTTCCTTGATAGTACTGAATAATAGCACTTAAAATAATTCTCAAAAATATGATATCTCATAGTTACTAAGTTAGAGATGAACTGGGGATACCTTCCAGGCTGCCTCTTCAGCTGGACAGGATTTTGATGACAGTTCAAGCTGAAGATCTGTCACATCCAGGCTTGGGATCTACTCAGCAGTTTTCTGGCCTCTCACTTTTGTGTCCCTAGAGGTCAGCAGACTTTGTGGCTTCCTATATCAGGATAAAATTTTGGGAAGCACCATACCTCTGACCTGAGGAAAGCCCTTTAGGTACTATTTTTCTATAACACTGTAGTTTGCAATTAGGACACTGACACTACACTGGAATTAATGTGAATATAGGAGAGACTTTTAGGAGTTCTCAGATGAAGAATCTATAAATCCCCTCAACTCCAGTTTGCTTTAGTTTACTTTTTAGATAGGGTCTTGCTTTTTCTTGGGGCCTGACTGAGATCAGGATTCTCCTATTTTCCCCCTCCCATGTGACAGGGATTTGCACGCATTATGTTACTACACTTGATCCCAAATTATTATTATTATTATTATTTTGTCGGTTGTGGGGCTTGAACTCTGGGCCTGGGCGTTGTCCCTCAGCTCTTCAGCTCAAGGCGAGCGCTCTACCACTTGAGCTACAGCGCCACTTCTGGTTTTCTGGTGGTTTATTGGAGATAGGAGTCTCACGGTCTCTCCTGCCCGGGCTGGCTTTGAACCGTGATCCTCAGATCTCAGCCTCCTGAGTAGCTAGGATTACAGGCGTGAGCCACCAGCACCCGGCCTGATCCCAAATTATTTTAGCCTGGTTAAAATAATATTTTTCCAGCTTTATTTCCCAATACTCACAATGTACTTGACTAGACACTTACTTTCCAAACTTCTTCACTGCCATTCCTCTTTGACACTTTAGCTATATTACTTCTGTTTAAATACAGAATACTTGCTTATTCAGATTTCAAAGTCTATACTATTCTAACTCAACTAACTTTATTGGGACAGTTAGGATTAGGCTTTTAGGTATTCATTTTTTTTTGGGGGGGGGGGTCCGGTCATGGGGCCTGAACTCTGGGCCTGGGCGCTGTCCCTGAGCTCTTCAGCTCAAGGCTAGTGCTCTACCACTTGAGCCACAGTGCCACTTCCAGCTTTTTTCTTTTTGCTTATGTGGTGCTGAGGAATCGAACCCAGGGCCTCAGGCATGCAAGGCAAGCGCTCTACCACTGAGCCACCTTCCCAGCCCCTAGGTATTCATTTTTATTTTCTCTCTCTCTTCCCCCCCTCTCTCTTTTGCCAGTTCTGGGTCTTGAACTCAGGGCTTGGGCACTGCCCCTGAGCTTCTTTTGCTCAAGGCTATCATTCTACCCCTTGAGCCACAGGGCCACTTCTGGCTTTTTCTGTGTATGTGGTACTGAGGAATGGAACCCAGGGCTTCATGTACTCGAGGCAAGCACTCTACCATGAAGCCAGATTTTCAGCACATTTTATCTCTTCTTTGTCTAATTATAGACCCTTTGAGGTTCTAAGTCATAGTTTATTAATTTAAATGGTCAAAATAACTTGTAGTTTCTACTATAGTGTTTTACCAATAATGTAGATTAAGTAAATGATTACAGAATTTATTTGCCTAGTAAAACCCTCTTATTTAATGGGGAAATTAAAAAAAATACAGTCCAAAGAGCAGAATCTCTTCAGTGGTCAAGGAGAACAAGCCACTGAAGTCTGTCTGTTGAGCTTCCACTGGCATACACATGGCAGACTCTGTAGCTATATATCTAATGGTTATCAGAGGCAAAAGAAGTTTTGGCTTTTCTAGTGGACACAGTTTTTTCTGGAATATTTACTCCTACTATATCCTCCTTTGCAACCCCCTCTCCCTCTGCCCTGCTCTATTCCTCATGTCTCTTCTCTTTCCCAGCAGTAATGAATATAGATTTGTATGGAAATTTATACTGGGTAGTTAAGAGTCACCTTGTGTACTAGAAGAGAAACTCTCTGATTCTAATTCAGCTTCAAGTCTGAGGTAGTAGTAACAAATCTTCCTTGAAGGACAGCTGAAGATCTAGTAAGTTTCTAAGCTGCAGTGTTTTTTTTTTTTTTGCTAGTCCTAGGGTTTGAACTCAGGGCCTGGGCCCTGTCCCTGAGTTTCTTTTGCTCAAGGCTAGCACTCTACCACTTCAGCCACAGCACCATTTCCAGCTTTTTATGTTTATGTTTATGTGGTACTGAAGAATCAAACCCAGAGCTTCATGCATGCGAGGCAAGCACTTTACCACTAAGCCACATACATTCCCAGCCCCTTAAGCTGTAGTTTGAAGTCTTAGAAAAAAAACCTAATCTTCTTAATTCAACTATCTTCAGCTGTTCAGTCTGCATGATTCTTCAGGAGGTTGACTTCCTTGAGGGAAGGTGGCTGGCTTGTGGATGTAGATATAGATATTTAAGTCCAAGTTACTAACAATGGAAGCTCACTGGGATGAAATTATGACTTCAGTCACATCATAACTTCCTTCTTCATGCAAATGACCAAGCTCCACTAGATGGCACTGTGGAGTCAGCAGTGATGAGCTTTATTCTACTATGTAGATTTATCATCACCAGCCAATACTGTTTTACCACAGGTGATTGCGATCAAAGTAATCAACAGATCCCTGAAATGCCTTGCCAGCGCTGGGTATCTACTGGAAAAAACCCCATTAAGCTCATAAAGGACTATCTCCCTTAACTTATTTCCCCTTTTCTTGGAATTTAAGGATGTTGGTGAGTCACAAAAAGAATTTATTAAAATAGACTGATGAAAATATACTGATTCTTCAAATAGGATCCTACAGTTAGCAGGTATCTTAAACTTCTTCCTTGGATTCAAGAAAAATATTAATTGTTCTGGCTTACGAAAGAACTGATAAGGTCACAATACAGCCTCTGGAAGGTGCTTATTGAGTATACATGTAAAAATAAGCTGATCAGAAAATAGTGATTTGAATCAAAGTGCACAAAACATTTTACTTTGATTAAAATCCCTCAGGTCATGATGAAATTTTAAAGTTAGGAAATTTAAAAATAGGGATTTTTAGAGTTAGAAGGAGTCAAGAGGATTATGTTGTATGTAAGAGGAAAGGAGACAGTTTTTCACTTTCTAAGGAAGTGGGTTAATAATCTCCATTTTTATTATTAATTTTTGGTCTTAGTCCTGGTCCTGGGGCTTGACCTTTTTGCTCTCGAGACTTTACTCTACCACTTGAGCCACACAGCTCTACTTCTGGCTTTTTATTAGTTAACTGGAAATGAGTCTCAAGAGACTTTTCTGCTCAGGCTGGTTTTGTACTGTGATTCCCAGATCTCAGCTTCCTGAGTAGCTAGGATTACAGGCATGAGCTACTGATGCCCAGCTAGTAATTTTCATTCTTAATATCTCCTGCAATCTATTGTTGGGAATCAGGGAGTTCAGTGAGTTATTGTGGAAATTGACTACCCAGCTTCAGGAATCCCAGGACTGACCTTGTGCAAGTAGAAAATCCACAGTTCCTAGATGGCCTTCAGAAGCAGCCATCATCAGGGGGGTACGACCCTGCTTGTCTGCCATGTTGACATCAGCTCCATGAGTAAGTAGAAGATCAACAATCTGAAAGTGTAGAGAAATAGGGACCGATTATTCCAAGAAGATCTATGGAGAAGACACATACATTATGATCTCCTATAGAGTATAAAATACTGCTGTGTAGGTTATTTCTACAAATAGCTTTTTATACTGCCTATATACAGTAGAGTTGTAATAACATGCAATTTAATTTTTAACTCTCTTGGATATAGTCAAATAAGAAGGATTCTTTTCTGAACTTCTTTATTGAGCCACTAAGTATAAAAAAAAAAAAAAAGCTAAGGCAAGATGTAGTCTAGCCAAATACTAGTGGCTCATACCTGTAATCCTAGATGTTTAGGTGGCTAAAATTTGAGGATTGTGGTTTGAGGCCAGCCTGTACAGAAAAATCTGTAAGTCTCATCTCCAATTAGCCAGTAAGAAGCTGGAAGCGGAGGCATGGCTCAAATGGTAGAATGACAGCCTTCAGTGAAAAAGGCACGCAAACACATACACACACACATACAATGTACTTTAAACAATACCATAATGGAAGCTCCAACACAAGGACAAAAGGTACTACCTATGTCATTAATATTTTATTTTTTAAAATCTTATATAACTTCCGCAGTTTATTTTGAAAACAATCTTTTCTGAAATATCCTTATGATTTGAGGTGAGCTAATTGACGGTACACCAAAGTTACCTGTTTGCCTGAAATGCTGATGAAAGAGTAATTATTAACATATCCTTACAGCACACCAATGTAATGGGACTCTGCAATTTTTTAAAACTTTTCCCATTTGGTCATTTTTTTGAACATTTGATGAGTTGCATGTGTATGGAAAACATACTCTCTACTGACTGAAGGTAACCTGCATACTAGTGTACTTCCAATCCAGAATTTAGTTCTTACAGGCAAAAGTGGCTCAAATGGGAGCAAATAATCTTACTCCCATGAAATGAACTAGACACAAAGCAACAAGCAGTAAGAATGCTAAAGATTTATTTTGCCAATCTTCCTTATTTTGTGTTATTATTTTGAGGCAAGTTATAGCCCAGGTTGGCTTGTACTTATGATCCTTGCCTCAGTTTCCCTAGTGCTTTATTTACAGGCACCACTATGCCTTGCTTCTGTCGTAAACATGTAAGTGTATACTATGAGTAAACTGAGTTAGAACATTTCTTGGGTAGGCAGAGCGCTGCTATCAGTAGACTATCAGTAGAGACTCTCCAAGAGCCCAGGTCAGCATAGTACATGAGGAGCGGCAGCACTGAGCAGTGCTAGGCAGGCAACACGCCAGGTAGACCACACTGTCCAGGTCTTCCGGAGGTCAGGTCATTATTATTTCATTGGATTGCATTTTGTTCTTTCATATTTACTTGTTCCACTGTTTTGTAATCAGGGAAAATCAACTAGTCAACTAACTTCCTCAAACTAAAACCTTTTATTCTCGGGTAAATAAAACTAATTGTCACCTACAATTATTTTTAGGATAAGGAAGAGTAAGTCAGCTGAAAAAACAACTAGGGCTGGGGCTAAGGAATACCACTACACTTAGGCACAGGACTAGTGGGTGAGTTGCTGGCTTGGTTGTGGGCAGTGCTAGCCTAGTGGGCCTTCTCTAGGAAGGCCCTGCAGCACTGGAGACGCTGCTGGTACACCAGCTTGAAGTCGGAGTCATTTCCATAATAGGGATCATCAATAATGAATTGTTTTTGTGGATCATAGCTCCTCCCAAGTAGTTTGATTTTAGCTTTGCAGTTTTTAACTTGATTACCTTTTCTATTCAAATCTCTCAGATTGCTTTCATCCATACACAGTATGTAATCGAATGTAGCAGTCTTCTTTGGTAACCTGTCGGGCAGTGTGACTCATGGGGATGCCATGCTTCCTCATGCAGCTCTGCCCTTGATAGGGGGGTTTCCCACTTCATACGTGGATGTGGCCGCACTGTCTATTCTCCAGTTATCTGAAACATTTTGGTCAGCTAAAAGTTTTCTGAAAACTGCTTCTGCAATGGGTGACTGGCAAATGTTACCCAGACATACGAATAGCACAGACTTGGGACTGCATTTGGCTATCTTCCTAGGTGGTCACTGGCTCATTAATATTTTATTAATCTCCAGGGATGGCAAGCCAGCCTACAGCAGTAAATACTCCTGACAAAAATAAAGAACTTTTTTGTTGTTGTTGTTGCTGTTGGGGCTTTAACTCTGGGCCTTGTCCCTGAGCTCTTCAGTTCACAGTGAGTGCTCTACCATGAGTTACAGTGCCACTTCTGGTTTTCTGGTGGTTAACTGGAGCTAAGCGTCTCATAGACTTTCCTGTTTGGGCTGGCTTTGAACTGTGATCCTCAGATCTCAGCCTCCTGAGTAGCTAGGATTACAGGCATGAGCCACTGGTGCCTGGCTAAAGCACCTTTGATAGTTCTTTAGTACTGTTTGGCTTCTACAGCTTTTTTTCCTTCTCTTCTCAAATACTAAAGAGTAGCATCAGGATGCTATTTCTTCCACCCAAAGTGTATAAATGAAATATGATCAGAATTCAAACATAAAGAAAAATTAAATAACTAGAATTTGCATGTATGATATTTTAGCAAGTCTGAGACATCTGAGAGGTTAGAGATCTCTTGTAAAATGAACCTTTCAATGAACTGTGGACAATAGACTGGGAACTGTGAGGAGGTTACCCTACCACCAGGACAAAAGTGTTTAGTCAATATAGATCACAATAAATTTTTTTTCTATATTGTTCTTGGGACTTGAACTAAGGGCCTGTGCACTGTCCCTGAGTGTTTTCTTTTCTTCTTCCTCAAGTCCAATGATATACAACATAAGCCACAGTTCCATTTCTGGCTTTCTGGTGGTTAATTGGAGTTAAGAGTCTCATGGACTTTCTTGCCCAGGTTGGCTTTGAACTGTGATTCTCAAGTCTCAGCTAGGATTACAGATATGAGCCATTGGCACCAGGCCACAATAATGGTTATGTATGTTAACTTACAAAAAGTTATTTTCTCAGTTAAATAGAACATTTGACAACAGAAGCCTAAATACTCAAACTAATGATTTGTGGGTAGTCCAAAATCAGACTTTTTTTTCCCCTCCAGTACTCTGGTTTAAACTTTAGGCCTTATACTTGCTAGGCAAGTGCTCTATGTCTTCAGCCATTTTTCCAGCCCTTTATAATTTAGTTTTCCAGATAAGGTCTCATGCTTTTCCCAGGGCTGGCCTCAGACTTTGTTCCTCCCACCTCTACCTACCTCCTGAGTAGCAGAGACCATAGATGTGAACAACTACACTTAGACTATGTTTTGAGATGAGGGTCTTGCTAACTTATTTGCCAGGCTGTTCTTGAATTATGACCCTTCTATCTCTTTCTCCCAAGTAGCTGGGATAATAGACATGTACCACCATGGCCAGCTATGTTTTTTTTTTTTTTTTTTTTTTAGTTTTGAGACAGGGTCTCATTAAGTAGCCAGAGTGGCCAGTAATTTATAACCCTTTGTGCTTCATCTTCCTGAGTGCTGAGATTATTGTCATGTATCACCACACTTATTTTCTTGGTATCAAAAGTTCCCACCTGGAATTCATTCCTTCTTATGGGATGGAAGTAGCTACCATGCTTACCTGCCAGTGGCCCTGGCGAACAGTGCTGAATAGGGGCACTGCCCCTCGGCGGTTTGGCTGAGCCACTGCTGCCCCTTGCTCCAAGAGTAGACGGCACACCTCCAACTTGCCTCTTCCGGCTGCAGCGGTCAGAGCTAAGGGCAGAGAACAAAGATAGAGGATAGCTGATTTTTTTCCTCTCTAGTCTACAGTGTTAAACATGGCAATGTATTTCCAAATGGTTTACTTAAGGTAAACATAGCAAGTTACTGTGTTTGATTAATGTAACTGCTACTTTATTTTAGCTGCCTTTTCCAGGAATTAAATTTTTAAAGAAAAATAATGAATTAAGAATAACTACAAGGGGTAACAATATCTGTGGATAATCATAACAAATCTAATGAAAAATTAAACTCACTTGGTATAATTTTTCCTACCTTTCACTTGGTTCCTTAGCTTAGCTACAAACTGTCCATTAGTCTATGTCTGAGTGAAATCTAGACAGAAGGAACTTTGCACAAAGTCTTTTTTAGAGTTAACTGTGCACTACCCTTGATCAAGCTCTTCTCCAGAGCCTTGGGCTCTCAAACTTAAAGAACCAATGTCAGAAGTTGCAGTCTAAGGACCTTGGGTCAATTTTTATTCTTTCCTCCTGTTAATTGAGATCAAAGTTTCAAATACATTTGCAAGGATTTTTATATGTAGATTAGAACTGTTCGAAGTAATTTTTTTGAGACAGGGTCTCCCTATGTAGCCTAGGCTGGCCTTGAACTCATGATGATCCATTTTCCTCAGTTTTCTGCCTCAGTCTTCCTAATGCTGGGGTTACAGTGTGCACCACTATGTGTGACTTAGTTTTTTTTTTTTTTCGGTGCTCCTACCTGGTTTTGAACACAGGGTAGTTTTGCTAGACTTTCTGGTTAATGTCTGGGGCTCTATCAAATGAGCTACACCTCCAGTCTGGCTTTTAGCTGGTTAATTGGAGATGGAGTCTCACTAACTTTTCTGCCCAAGTTGGCTTCAAACCTTGATCCTTCAGGTCTTAGCTTCCTGAGTAGTTAGGATAAAAGTGCAAACCACTGGTGCCCAGCTTAGATAAAGGTCTTAATAATGAGAAAGATATGTGACAAAGGCTATTTTCTTTTGAATATAAAACAATGGAGTCACAGACAAAGATTTAGTGAGTATATATGGTACAGAAGAAACTTTAGCATTCTTCTTCTTTTTTGTCATTGTCCATTATTTATAATTTTTGGAATAGTGGAAATTCTTGGAGTGCCAATTTCATTCTCAGTGTGCCATATAAACAGCAGAGAGAAGATCTTGGAGATACCAAGTCCATCTTTTAATACACATTTGTTTCACTTAACCAAGAGATTTAAAACACATTAAGTTTATTATTATTATTATTAATACTGTCCCCATATGTAGCTACATTTGGCCTCAAAATCATAACTCTATTGCCTCCCAGTTCTTGGGAGGTGGAAAACTATTAAAATAGACAGCAAGAGTCATACTTAATTTAAAAAAAAAAGGACAGATATATTTCCCCCTCAATTTGACTTGGAAAACTGATGTGGTAGACAATAGCTCCCTCTTTACTATGGCCACCTATTCTATATCAGAAAATCAGCAAAGTCATAGGCAGGTTATTTCAATTTGTTAGAACCTAATCAGAGAAGCCACTGATACCCAAATCAAGTGATTATATTTTGTCTAATTTACAACTTTTTATTTTTTGGTTTGACTTTATTTAACCACAACTGAGGCATAGACAATATTAGAACCACCTATAATTTCCAAACCTTCAAGTAATCTTTCTCTTCCCAATTTTAGAACATGTATACATACATATATATATACATACATATATATATACACACACATATAGATACATATACATATATATCTATACACACATACCCTTAAACCAGATATATTGTTGTCTATGTATACTTAAAAGATGTGCACAAGCTATAATTATTTACTTGATAACGTTTCCCCCCCACTCTTTATATCCAAGTGGTCTTAGTTTTTCAAGATGTATTTTTAATTATTTTTTTTAAAAACACTTTGTTCTGTGTAGATATCAGAATACAAGAGTAGTTTGAGAACATGCCTGGGATAGATGTGCATTAGATATCATAAGAATCATCTTGTTAGATAAGAAATGTACTCATTTGGGCTGGGAAGGTGGCTCAGTGGTAGAGTGCTTGCCTTGCATGCCAGAGGCCCTGGGTTCAATTCCTCAGCACCATATAAGCAGAAAGAAAAAAGCTGGAAGTGGTGCTGGGGCTCAAGTGGTAGAGCGGTAGCCTTCAGCTGAAGAGCTGAGGGACAGCGCCCAGGCCCAGAGTTCAGGCCCACGACTGGACCAAAAAAAAAAAAAAGAAATGTACTCATTATCTTGCCCATGTAATTGTAACCCCTCTGTACAGTTTTTTCACAATAAAAAAATTATGTACAAAAAATACAAAATCATCTGAAAAAAAAAGAATCATCTTGTTAGTGTGTAAAATAAACCACTTGGAACATTTCCAACTCCAATATTCTGATTCCATTTAAAGTAGCTTCCTATGTGTGGGGGCCAAATATATTCTTTTCATGAAAGGACCTACAGTATTCTAGAGAAAATAGTCTTGAAACTTACACTATCTCCTCAAATAATTACATTACTCTGGTTGGGCTATTTCTCTCTATTGAATAACATTTTTTTTATGAGACAGAATGTTCCATTTGGCCTTTTTCTTTGTTGTATCATCTCTGTTGCTAAGGTTGTGATGTCATTTGAAAGCAACTCCAGCTGACAACTAGACATGGTCATTAACACAGCTGGCCAATTTCATCTCAAAACAATGCAACTATGTCAAAAGAAGTCTGGACTTTGTGAAACCCAAGAGCAAAGGAGTTTCTTTGGTTGGATTTTATGAGTCTTATCAAAAACTGTTAGGACTCTTTGAAAGAAAGGAGATTAAGTAAAGCCAGGTCTGTAAAACTACAACTGATTCTTAGAGCAAAAATAGCAGTTAAGAATAAAATCTCTTCCTAAGAGACCAGTAACAGATTTTGTTCCCTAGCTTGTCAGCATCTGATGAGATTAGCTGACACAAATGATCTGTTTTTCAAAGGGTAACATTTAAGAAGTTTGAAGAGGCAGACAGGATGCAGCTCTCAGTTGGAGAAATAGCCAGTCTGTTTGGATGGGATGTTGACACTAAGTAGAATGCTGTAAAGGAAATGATTCTTTTATCTATTTTCAATCTTGAAATAGAACAGCATGTAAGATCAATGGGAAGAAGGTAGTTGGGAAGACAGAAACTGATTGCTGATATCTGAAACACTATTATTGAAACATTTAATAAACTATTTTTCAGACAGTCTCTATGCTTAACAAACTCATGGTTAAGTAGGAAAACATAGATATATTACCATAAAGTGTAAGTACAAAAGAGGATGTTCCTTCTGTTGGTGTGATAAGGGCAGATTCCCTTAAATCTAGTTTATTTGTGAACTCTGGCTTCTTTTTGGATCATTATTCTTAGCCTGTGAAGTTGCTAGCAACCGTGTTGTGTGCGTGTATGTGTGTGTGTGTGTGTGTGTGTGTGTGTGTGTGTGTGTGCACAGGTGTGCATGTATGTGCTTGAATTTGGAGCTTGGGCATTGTCCATGAGCTTTTTGCTTGAGTTAGTTCTTTATCATTTGAACCACACCTCCACTTCTGGCATTTTGGTGGTTAATTGGAAGTAAAAGTCTCATATACTTTTCTGCCCAGGCTGGCTTCAAGCTGTGATCCTTAGATCTCAGCCTCCTGAGCAGCTAGGATTACAGGCATGAGGCACTGGTATCCTGCTGTGTCAATTCTTAATGCTGGTGTGCCCATTACAGAAGTGATAGGAAAATGTAATCTGTCATTTAATGCTATTTTTGGGGGGAGGGGTTGTAGGGCTTGAACTCAGGGCCTGGATGCTGTCCCTGAGCTTTTTTGTTCAGGCCAGCACTCTACCACTTTGAGTCACAGCACCACTTCCAGTTTTCTGGTGGGTAATTGGAGATGAAGGTCTCACAGACTTCTCTGCCTAGGCTGGCATTGAACTGTAATCCTCAGATCTCAGTTTCCTGAGTAGCTAGGATTATAAGTATGAGCCACTGGCACCTGGCTCTTATTGCTTTTCTTTTGTTGTTTCATATGAAGTCTGTGAAGATCTGTGGGATGGAAGGGGTTGGCCAGATTGTGAAGGCCATATATGAGGAGCCACATTTGAAAGGATTAAAGAGGTAAAAGGAAGACAAAAGCAGCCAGGATATTCTAGTGATCTGTTCTTAGAGAATCTGATATATAAAAATTATATCTCAATATTGTATTATATGATGAAATATTACATTGATTCTAAGATTCACTGCCCTTCTCATCTTAAAATCTCAGTTGATATGATAGTATTGTATCAGTGAAACTGACAATAGCTTTCCATCTTCATAATGACATAAAATAATGGTTCTTATAGTTTCTTGTATTTTATATAGCAAATTATACAGATTATTGAAAACATTGTGATCATCATATTTTCCTTAGGGAACAATTTGTATCTTAGGTCAGGATTGCAGAGATCAGAGTCTGATCAACTAAAAAATATGTACGATTTTGCCATGGAGGAAACATCGTAATTCAATGAGTTATGCATTTTAAATTATTATGTGCTGTAAGTTAGAAAGGTAGATGTATTTGTAGAGGTAGAGAAGCAACCCAAAGTCCAACTCAATTAGTGAGATGCAGAGTCATTTTCACATAGCAAAGACAACATTCTTTCCCAGAACCAAATAACTTTTCAGAGTTTCAGAAGTTGTCTTACAAATAAATTCCATTCCAACTCTTTTAAATATCATCTTATGTTTACAATACTAAAATTATTGTGTATTAGTATCAAGTTAGCACATTTCTGCTCCATTATCATCAATGGGCCATAACTTCTTTTCTTACTCTAATGGTTACATGTCCGTGCCCTTGGCAAAAAGGGAGTCCATTGAGAAGTATGGCAACACTGTATTAGGGAAGGTTTTGTGAGAGAGGTAAATCAACATGTCCTTTTTACAGCTCTAGGTCTGGTATGGACACTCCAGAACTGTGGATGTCCTGGCTAGTCTCTTCTCAGCCTGTCCTCTGGCTTCCCTCAGTTTAGGGTTCCAGAGACAGCAGCTGTTTTCAGCTGCACACTTTCCTTTAATCTGTCATGGGCTCTTAAGCTGCAGCTGCCTGGCATCTGCTTCCTTGGGCTCATAAAGAGAGAGGGATTGTTTGAGAAACAAATTCCTGAGATTTGGAACATTCCATGCGATGATATTGAAGAAGTCATGAAACTTACATGAAATCTTGTTATGGGAAGAAACAATTCCATAAATCACTAAACATTTTAAATGAGTTCAAAAGTCTTCTCTAATTTATATATTTTTTGTGCCAGTTCTGGGTTTGAACTCAGGGCCTAGGCATTGTCCCTGAGCAACTTTTGCCCAAGGCTCCCACTCTACCACTTGAGTCAGAGCTCCACTTCCAGCTTTTTGGTACTTAATTGGAGAAAAGAGCTTGCAGACTTTCTTGCTGGGACTGGCTTTGAGCCACAATCCTCAGTTCAGCCCCCTGAGTAGCTAGAATCAATAGGCATGAGCTACCAATGCACAGTTATTATTTTTAATAACACTCTTACCAAAATGCGCTCCCCCTTTTTTTTGTTGGTCGTGGGACTTGAACTCTTCGGCTCAAGGCTAGCACCCTACCACTTGAGCAGCAGCACCATTTCCAGCTTATGTGGTACTGAGGAATTGAACCCAGGGCCTCATATGCGAGGCAAGAACTCTAACACTGAGCCAACTTCCCAGCCCAGTGTGCTCCCTTGGTCATCTCAATATTGGTCTATTTCTTTTGGGAAATATGACAACACACATCTCTGGTTACTCTACCATTTTCTTTGCCCTGGTTTCATAGAAACACATAAAAAGGTTATTAATGGTTCTCCAGATGCTCATGTTTAGACTTGGAGGAGGGACAATAGTAATTTCCTGCAAAGGCCACAGGAAGAGGCTTCTGTTTGTACAGTACTTAATAACACAGAAATTACTTTACTATAGATCAAGAGAAATTACATGAGATCAAGCCTTATAGAGCGAGTGTCTTCAGTGTGCATCTAGGTAACAATGTACCTCAACACATAATGCTTGACTATTTCAGGTTTCACTCTATCATGAAAACATCTGGTTAAGCCAGAGATACGCACAAAAACGTAATCCCTGCTTTGGTCTAGCACATTGTAAAGGAAACTTCCAGTCTTTTAAAGGAATTTGGAAACAAGAAGAAAATTTTTGTTGAAAAGTACTAGTGGTTTTCAAAGGGAAAGAGGACTGAAAGAGGGCAATTGTTTGACTTTTTACTTGGGCTAGGTTGGTCTTCAACACAGAAGTTATAAGAGAAGAGCAGCAAAGAGAGGCTAGAGAAAAAATAAGGATATGAGATAGAGAGTCCATACAAACACAATACATTCCAGATGAGAGGAAAGACCATGAGAGTACCTGTCTCTCCCCAGAGACTGTCAAAGCTGTTGATCTGTGCTCGCTCTACCTCCTCTTCATCTTTTTCTGGAAGATCAAGTAGGTAGGACACAATCTGAAACAAGAATTTATGTCAGCTCAAAATTCAGGTGTGGAAAACTATGCTACTGACCCTAGCCTGAGATTTAGAAGATACTTCAATTCAATTCAAGTATCACTAAATCTCTTATACACTTAAGAATCAGAACTGAATATCCTAGCAAGAAATCTCTAAACAGGTCTGAAAAGCATGTCTTACCAGGTACAGTGTTTGTGTATTTCTCTTGAATACAAGTTACTTACATAGCATGTAATTAAAAAAATTGCATGTTCTTCCTATTTGCATTAAATAAGAAATTCCTTAATTCTAATAAGACTACAGAGAATAAATATGGAGAAAACAGGGTTTGTATTTCTTTAGAGGAGAGCAATTATCTCCTCCTTCCTTCATAGAACTGTAAGGTCTCTTTGTGTCTAGTAAAGGCAGAATGGCTACCAATAGTTCTGTTTCCAGGAATTTGACTGTTCTGAGAGTTAAAAAATCTTCCACAGATAGTAAAAGTTTCAGTTTTACTTAATGTTCCCTTGGTTACACATCATGTCAGTTGTATGGCTATTTCACTGGAATCCTATGCAGTTGTGTGGGCCAGGAGAGCTGATTGTTTAAAATTTTCAAGAGCTAACAATTTATTAAAACAAATAAATTATAACAAGTAAATTATGTTAAAAACAAAGGGTAAACAATACTTAAACCTAAGCTGGGGGTGGCTCAGTGGTATAGCACTTGCTTAGCATATATAAGGCTCTGGGTTTGATTCTTAGCACCATAAAAAATTAATAAGCAAGGCGAAACAGAACAAAAAACTGAAGTCTTTACAACTTGCTAGTTATTTAACTATATCTTACTATTGTCTATGCTATTGAGATTATATTTATTGTATCTGTATGGTATAAATATTACAAAATGGTGTGCCACTGTACATCTGTTCCCACCTTTGTTTTCAGTAATATCACACTTGAATCCTGAAAATAGGATATGATGGAAATATTTACACTTTGCAGATTGCCAAACATTACAGATCAAAATTTGATCTAAAGTTAGCCATAGGGTAGTAATTGTAAAGTTCAGTTATAGGTAAATGAAAGTTCACTATTATTCAACCCACTCTGGTACAACCACAAATTTTAGCATTGGAAAGACTCTTAGAACTCAAAGCATGGGACATATGAAACAAAAGGAAACAAAGCAAAAATAAAAGTATATGACCTGAAAAAAAAGATTTGGTTTAGAGCTTAAGTTGAAAGAGGTTTGGGATTAATGAATAAAATCTGTATAAAGATAAGTGGTATACAACAGTAGATCACATATTTAATGGCAGTAAAATATATAGGAATAATTAGCAAATTGGGAAGCAACTCCATTTGACAAATCATGGCTAAGTTGCAAGCATAGGTTAGCTACAGATACAAATTTGGCAAATCAACAAAAGCATTCATTATTATTTGGAAAGAGTATGCAACATGTTCAGTAAAATTTACAATAAACTTTTGAACACACACACATACACATGTGTGCATACATACCTGCAATTTATCCTCCTCTCTTGCCTCAGAGAACACTTCATAGCATACCAGTAATTCTATGTAATTACTACAGATTATCACTGTTAAAGGGGGTTGGCAATATGGGGAAATAGATCATTTCCAGTATCCTTTCCAACTCTCTTATTTTATGCCCACAATTGCAGGTAGTTGGGTATTTGAATAATCAAGTGATTCACAGAGCTTTATCTCCTTCTTCCTCAGAGGAGAGGCCAAAAATTCATAAGAGTTTAGCCTCTTTTTTAATTTCTGAGGTCCTTTAATACATAGCTGGGAAAAAACCTCCTATCACCTTCTTCTTACCTCAGTGTAACCCATGCTGGCTGCAGCAATGAGGGCCTGCTGGATGGCATGGCTCTTCTTAAACACTCCTTGCTGCTGGCCAGCCATTGTCCAGTCACACTGAATCAGAAACTTGACAACCTCCAGATGACCTCGGAGTGCTGCATGAACCAAAGCACACTGCCCATTCTTATCTAAATGATCCACCTAAAAAGAAAGAATAGACAATAATATGTGTGAATGAAGATTTGTGGCTATACATGGAATCCAGTTACTCCAGCCCACTGCATGTGTCTAGGCACGAAGATCCATCCTTTCACAATTGCTGAACCTATCTGATCAAATATAAAAGAAATTCTCTACTCAGGTCAGACCATTACCATACTCCAACTCTTGATGTTACTTTGGTGGGGAACTTCTTTTCCTCAGAAAAGGTGGTGAAACTTCTTTTTTTATGTTAAAAAATAATATTCTCAACTCAAGATTTGTTTTCCTGAGTTACATTCTCCTTTGTCTTCAAATAGTTTCTTTTCAGATCAAGATTTGAGAGACTTGTAGCTTTGTTAGCACAAAAAACTGACTTTGAAATCAAGAAAAAGACAAAAAATGTTTTGGAGCTCTAGTTTTTTGTGTGTTCCAAGGAAGCAAAGTGAATTACTCATGAATCACTCATCTGATTATTAAGCTTTGGCAAAGGCCACTCCTCTCTTCTATCAGAAGGGTAGATTCTCAGTGATCTGGCCCAAATGGCTACAGCACTTGGAGCTTAATGCTACACAAAGCTCCAAAAGCAGTTTTCTAATTTTTGCATTAGAGACAAACATAGGCTAAAAAAAAAAACTGATTAACATCAATCCCCTAGAATGTCTTTAGATCCAGGTTTCTTTTCTAGTAAGAATGTAGTTATCTGTCTATGGTAGTTAATAACTTGACACCCAAGTTCTGTTTCTGGTTCTTTCACTGATTGGTTCCATGCAAAAATTGAAATGACATATGTTTATTGCCTAATATGAGCAAGGCACCATATAAATAAAAAGATAAAACTAGTGGCTAATGCTTATAATTCTAGTTACTAAGGAAGCTGAGATCTGAGGATCATGGTAGGGTCATCAAGGCAGAAAAGTCCAAAAGACTCATCTCTAATTAAACAGCAAAATGCCAGACTAGCTTAAATGGTAGGATGCCAGATGGAGCAAGAAAGACAAGAGTTTAAGGTTCTGAGTTCAAGCTCTAGTACCGGTGAATAATATAGTAATATAATGATTCTGCTCAAGAATTTTCAAACATGGCAGGAAGAAATGTGGTAAAAAATCTAACAAAGGAGTACGTAATAAATGAAATAAGTAAAAGTACAATAAGATTTAAAGGAAGGAAAAATTAATTCCTGACCAGAATAAGGGACAAATTCAGAAGAAAAGTTCTATCTCACAACTTCCAAGACAGGAAATTCTTACCCATGGATTTTCAAAAGATGCCTGAAGGAAGAAATCTAAACTGTAAGGTTGACAATGTAGGGCTGGGAAGGTGGTTCAGTGGGAGAGTGCTTGCCTTGCATGCATGAGGCCCTGGGTTTGATTCCTCAGTATCACATAAGCAGAAAAAGACGGAAGTGGCACTGTGGCTCAAGTGGTAGAGCACTAGCCAAGAGCTGAGAAACAGCCCTCAGGCCCAGAGTTCAGGCCCCATGACCGACAAAAAAAAAGTTGACAGTGTAGACATGCCAGGTTAAGTGATCTGAATTTAATCAGTAAGTAGTAATGAGGCATTGAGAGTTATTATGCTCAGAACTATATTTTCAAAAACTAAGGGGGAAGAATGAAAGAAACCATGACTCCTTAGAGAAATGACTAACTTCAGAGCTGTGACAGTAGTAATATGAGATGTCTGAAACATCTTGTACAAGAAATAAGGAAGTACTCAAAAAAATAGCAGGGGGCTGGGCGCTGGTGGCTTATACCTTGAGCTGAAGAGCTCAGAGACAGTGCCCAGGCCCAGAGGTCAATCCTCACGACCGAGAAAAAAAAATAATAGGGGTGTTGAAAGGACCAGCAACCAACCTGAACCAACTATCAAATCTGGGTCAATCTGAAGGACAAAAAATAATAGTTGTAATGGATTACATGCTGTAGAATAAAATATCCATGACTCATAGTGATATAAATATAAATAAGCAACTGAATAAGTAAACATAGGAAGCAAGGCAGAATTCTTCTTAGCAGTAGAATTCCTAACAATAAATATTGAAGGAAGCCAGTGGCTCACACCTGTAATCTTGCTACTCAGGAGGCTAACATCTGAGGATCGTGGTTTGAAGCCAGGCAGGGCAGGAAAGTCCATGGAACTCTTATCTCCAATTAACAACCAGAAAACTGGAAGTGGTGCTGTGGCTCAAAGTGGAAGAGTGCTAGCCTTGAGCGAAAAAACTCAAGGAGACTGCCCAGGCCATGAGTTCAAGCCCCACAATTGACAAAAAACAAAACAAAACAAAACATTAAAGGAATAATGAGAATGATTCCTCTGTGATAAACATCTTAACAGAAGTTATTGCAGCAAGAATCAATGATGAATCTCAAAGCTAGTAGATAAAAGTATAATGAGAAACAAGATATCTGTCTGTCTAGTCTCAAATTATTTGCCTTAAAGGTATTTTCCTTGATTATGAAGGGAAAAACAGTAACTTCAGAGTTGAAAGCTGGAATACACTACCCTTTCACCAAATAATTAAAGCTGTCATCTATAATAGGACATGTTGACATTATGTTCCTCAAGTGTTGAACTTCAGTAAAGGCACAGTATTGCTGCTATGGCATTCTTTCCAAAAATATTTAAAATCTAACGAGAAAATACCAAACCCAATTTAAAAACTTCTTTTCTTTTGGTGGTACTGGGGCTTGAACTCAGGGCAGGCACAAGGCAGGTAGTCTACCACTTGAGCCACTCCTTCAGCCTCAAATTGAAAAAATAGTCTACAAAATAACTGGCTAGTATTCTTCAAAACTGTTAAATAATACAAGTGAAAAACCCCCACAAAATTGAGGAACTACTGTAATGTAATACAATAATGCAATATAGAATACTCAACTGGCTTTTGTAATTGAAAAAAGGCATTAGTGGGACAAATGGGAAAATTTCAATAAGGCCAGTAGATACCATTATCTGGTTTTGATATTATGAATGGTTACTTAAACTGTTAACATTAGAGGACACTGAATGGACATATATGAGAACTTCCTGAGCTATTTTTGCAGTGGTTTTACAGGCCTATAAATTATTTCAAAATAAAAGACTTAAAGAAATTAAGAGGATGGTGTGTTCAAACACCTCAATGTCAGACCTGAACCTTTGAAACTACTGTAAGACTGAGTTCAGAAACATTAGAACTTACTAGCATAGGCAAGAACATTCTGAAGAGAGTTCCAGGGCACAGCAAATAGGAGAGAGACTTGACAAATGGGATTATATCAAACTAAAAAGTTTCTGCACAGAAAAGAACATAGTTACTAAACTAAAAAGATAGCCAACAGACTGGGAAAAGGTATACATCCAACAAGAGTCTAATATCCAAAATATACAAGGAGCTCAAGAAACTAACCTCCACCAAATTAATAACCCCAACAATAAATGAACAAAGGAATTAAACAGAGGCTTCTCAGAAGTAAGAAAGAAGAATTCTATGCTTCTATCAGAAAGAATGACATTGCCCTATTAGTAAAGAAATGGAAAGACTTGAAAAAAAAATTTTATCAAGCGAAGCAAGCCAGACCCAAAGAAACATAAGCTGTATGCGTTCCGTCAGTTGTAATAACTAGAATATGTCTAGGATATTCTTAGCAGAGGATCACAACATCTCAATAACTATGTGCATATGGCTATATAAAATGATCCTTATAGAAATGAACTCCAAGAAATGGAAACAAGAGGTTTTTTTGGTTAGCGTACTGTTTGTAGTTATTTCTTTTTCCTTTCTTTCTCCCCCTGCCCCCTTTGGTTTATTCCCTGTTGTCACTGCTATTGATTTCTGTACCCTTTGTCTTGTATATAAGTTTATCTTATTTGAGGAAAGGAAGGGGAATTACAGAAACAGTGGGGTAAGGGGTGAACCAATGCAATAGACACTATGTTGGAGATGAACTTTACAGCTTGGAGGGGAGGGGAGTTGAGGGGGATGTGAGAAAACAAGGGAGGGATAACACTGTTAAAAAAGAAATGTACTCATTACCTTACTTATGTAACTGTAACCCCTCTGTACATCACCTTTGCAATAATAATAACAACAAAAATGGCCAATAAGCACATGAGAAAATGTTCAACATCCCTGGCCACAAAGGAAATGTAAATCTAAACAACACTGAGATTCCATCTCACCCCTTAGAATTCTAATAATAACAAATGCTGGTGGGGATGTGGGGGATAAAGGAACTCTATTACATTGTTATTGGGAATGTAAACTAGTACAACTACTCTGGAAGGTGCTTTGGAGATTCCCCAAAAAGTAAATCTGGACCTACCATATGGTCCAGTCATACCATTCTTGGACATCTACCCAGAATATTGTAAGTCAGGATTTGATGAAGACACTGTAAAACCATGGTCATTGTTGCACTATTCGCAATAGTGAATCTGGAAACAGCCCAGATGCCTTATAACAGATGAGTTGATCAAGAAAATATACACAATGGACTTTTACTCATCCATTAGAAAAATATTATGCCATCTGCAGAGAAATGGATGGACCTAGAACAAATCATGTTAAGTGAGGTAAGCCAGTCTCAGAGAAACAAACAGCACATGTTTTCTCTCATATGTAGAAGCTAACCTAAAATACAACAAGGCATGATAATATATTTAGGGCTCAATGCATTTACACACAAACAAACTAACTAAAGGAGGTTATACTTAGGGGTAGAATCTAAAGGTGTAACTCCTCTGAACAACTAATGTACTATTTATCACAATGAATACCAGCAAGTAAAAATATGTTCTAGTGGGTGGGCAAAAGGGGGAGCACAGGAATGGAGAAGGAAGGGTGAGCTAATGTAGTCATTACATTCAGTGTACATTATGTAAAAAAAATGACCTACATAACTTGAGGGGTAGGGATGGGATGGGAAATGGGGGAAAATGATGACACTGAACAAGAAGCACTGGACTTATAACCTGACTTACGGAATTGAAACCCCCTGGTACAACTCCTTAACAATAATTAAAAAAAGAGAATGGAATGTAATAGATAAGGCTAGAATCTGAAAAGGGAGCTTGTCATACGAGGAGATAGAACAATTTAGGAGGATGGTAGCAGTTGCAATGGACATGAAGGAATGGCTGTTCAAACTTTTTTCAAGATAAAATTGAAAAGAGTTGGCTATTAGATGAATTTGAAGAGACAACAGAAGGGAAGGTATAACATCTTTTTTAGTTTTGGGGAAACATTTTTAAAGCTAGGAAAAAAGAGGTAGTTCCAGGGTAAAGATAGCTGTTTTAGAAAGTTAAATGTGAAGTACCAGTGAGGTATCCAGGCACAACAGCACAGCTGTCAAGTAGGCAGTTAAAAACATGAGCTAGAGCTCCAAACTGTTTCAGGAATTAGTAATAAGAAGTTAAGACTCACTTAAATATAGGTTTAATAGAATCCAGCCTGTGATTTTAATGCTGAGACCATGAGGCTGGTGATCTTCCTCATACTCAGCATTACAATAGTTCTATTGGGAAAAGAATGAGAGAAAAGCAACTAGAGAATCAGTACAACTAGGATATTAAAAGCGCAATGTTACTGTTACTATAGAGAGGCTTAGAAGAGGGGCTTAGAAGAGTAAGAATGGAAAGAATTGCTTTGGTGTTTGGCAGTAGTGACTTTTGAGAAAGTAGGTCAGTTATCTGCTGGAAGGTTAGAGTGTTTGTTTCTTTTGGTGCTACCACAGTTTGAACTCAGGACCTCACAACACTTGCTATTAAGGCACTCTACTATTTGAATCATATCCCCCAGCTATTTTTTGCTGTTTAGTTATATTTTTCAGGTAGTGTCCTGTGTTTTTGCTCAGCGTGGTGGTGGTAGTATCATACCACAATTCTCCTGTCTACAACCTCTAAAGTAGCTAGGATCATTAGCATGTACCATCATGCCTAGCTTATTGAAATGGAATCTTGCTAAGTTTTTACCTGGGTTGACACTGATCCACAAAATAGTACTAGAGGTTGAATTTAGGGCCTTGAGCTTGCCAGGTAAGTACTCTACTCCTTGAATCATGCCCCCAGCCCTTTCTGCTTTCATTGTTTAAAAAATTATCTTTCGGCATCCTTTTTTTTCTGCATTAAGGTCTGGGCTGGCTTAGACAGTGATCCAGTTTATGCTTTCCTTGTATAAGAATGAAATTGACATGTCACCATACTCAGTTTTTTATTGGTTGAGATGGGGGTTTCCTGGAGTTTCTGCCCAGGTTGGCTTCAAAGCTTGATCTGTCTATTCTACACCTATGGAGTAACTATGATTATAGGCATGAGCCACTGTACCTGGCACTTGTATGAGATTTAAGTGCGTCTTTCTTTGAGCTAATGATATACCTAGACTTCTGAAATAGCACAGATACTAAGAAAGACTCTCCATAGGAAGAAAAGGAAAGTAATAGTGGTGGGCAGCCATTACCTTGGCCCGTTTCTTGCACAGCAGCATCACAATACTCAGGAACCCTGCCGCTGCAGCATATCCCAGAGGAGTCAGGCCACTTTCAGAAGAAGCATCCACATTGGCCCCAAACTCCAAAAGCAGGGCCACCATTTCTGTATAACCAAGATGAGACTGGACACACAGGATTGGGGCATTATTTAAAACCTCTGTCCGGTAATTAATATTGGCACCTCCCAAAATCAACAGTCGGCTGACCTAGAAATAAGCAAATAGAAATAACAATCAAACATCAGTCATATCCTTTATTAAACTGTCTGCGACTCTACATTTCATAGCTATGTTACTTTCCATTATTCATTTGTTCTTTTTTTCATCCTTATTTTTAAAAAAGAATGTAGCCAGGAGCTGGTGGCTCATGCCTGTACTCCTAGCTACTCAAGAGGCTGAGATCTGAGAATCTTGGTTTGAAACCAGCCCAGGCAGGAAAATCTATGAAAATCTTATCTTCAAGTAAATCTGGAAGTTGTGCTATGGTTCAAGTGGCAGAGTGCTAGCCTTGAGCAAAAGGAGGTCAAGGACAGTACCCAGGCCCAGAGTTCAAGCCTCAGGACTGGCAAAAAAATAAAAAAATAGTAAAATGTCTCCTATAAACTGCTCATGATCTAGAGTGAATGCTATGTGTACCATAGTATTAAACACTAGCTTTATTCTTCAGTGAACTCTTAGTTGAAAAAGCTCCTCTCCCAGGGGCTGGGAAGGTGGCTCAGTGGTAGAGCGCTTGCCTTGCATGCCTGAGGCCCTGGGTTCGATTCCTCAGCACCACATAAGCAAATAGAAAAAAGCCGGAAGTGGCGCTGTGGCTCAAGTGGTAGAGCACTAGCCTTGAGCTGAAGAGCTGAGGGACAGCGCCCAGGCCCAGAGTTCAGGCCCCATGACCAGACCCCCCCCCCCAAAAAAAAAGCTCCTCTCCCAAAAGACTACAAGCTTCTAGAGCCAGCAGCATCTACATCATATGTCAGAGTCAGCTTATAGAAAGGAGGAGGACAGTAGGTCACTCTTTAATTTACTGAATAAAATGTAGCAATTTAAAATACATATAAAATTAAAATACATATAAAAGGCTAATAGGAGATAGCCTAAGGTAAATTAGAGGTCAACTAAATAGTCACTTGATGTCCTTCTAATTTTATTCTTTCACAGATTATTCTTTAATTTATTTGTAATTCCTTTGTATTTACCTTTATATTTGGAGTGTAGAGATTTCGTAAAGATGCCAATGCCATAGAAAGACCTTCTGTGCTATAGGAGATCCAGAGACCTTGGAGAATGGAAGATGATACACCAACTTTTTTACTCAAACCCTGAAAAAGGAGTGCAAAACAATTAAATTTTTAGCTTAGTTAAAAAGTATCATCAGTAGTAAGTTGATGGCATCTATATTTTTAATACCAATGTGTTAGAGCATATCTTCTTATCTTCTTGCCAGCAAAGCCCATCCACTGATGGGGACAAATACTAATAATTTTGGACAAGGTAACTTAAATTGTCTCTAACATTTTTCGGATCTTTACATCTTAATGAATCCATCTAACATCTTTCTTTTCTGCTATATTGCTTTTCTGTACCTTTTAGTCTCCTTGAATACGTTCTTTAAATTCAAGTAAATATACACTGTAGCAGAGGTAATGTGGTGTGACTGTTGATCATTATTTCGTTTTTTCCTAAGCATTTGGAAAAATTACATTTCTTAGTTTCCTTTATTTAAATGGGTAATATGAATTCTGGTTGATAAAATTTGGATACAAGTAATACATTGCCCTCCCAAAGCTCTGATGTATTTCCATAGTCTGTTCCTCCTTCCTTTCTTTCATTCATTTCTTCCTCCTTCCCTCTTCTCTATGTTCTCTTTGTCTTTTTGAGACAGGGTCCTTTCTTTTAAACATTATTTTAAATAGATGTATGGGGGCATTCAACTTAACATGTCCATTTATGTGAATAATGCATCTTGATTAGAGTTCCCCTTCTAGCAATTCTCCCTCTCTCCATCTATTCATTTTCCTACTGGGTGCATTGTTTTCTAGTTCCACTTTCTGTATGTACATTGAATCTTGTGATTGTATTCATATGCCACTCACCTTTCCATTCAGTCCCACCTTCCATTAGCCTCCATGTCTCCAACCCCTAGTTAAGACATGTTATCACTTCTTCCTGATACTCATTTTGTTAAACTGTTTATTATTCAGTAAGGAAATACCCTCATTCTTGAATATACTTTAGTCAGTTTGATTGTTTCTGTATATATATGATCCTGTTTTATGATTCATGTTTTAGGTCAAAGTTCTACATATGAAAGAAAACATGTACCTTTCTATGTAGCCTAGGGTGGGCTCAAACTTGAGATGCCCTTCTGATTTTATTAGAAGATTAAGGTGTATGCAACACACCAGATTCTGTGCATTTTGTTTTTCTTGATTGTAGGTCAGATGCAGAAGTACTAATGGATTCTGAGGTCCAAGATGATTTCAGAACACTATATAGAAGTTACTTTCCTAGTAATCTGCAGCAGATTGCAGTAAAAGCAGGAAATAAATCTTCATTATGTTAAGCCATTGAGACTTTGCAGGTTTGTTATAGCAGCTAGAATTCTTCACCCTGCTTAATAGCCCTAAAACAATCATATCTAATCATCCTTAGGAATAAAAACAAAATAAACCTGATTTTCCATCAGTAACAAAACTTCTCCTAGTAGAACTGGCACAGGTCTCATTGCTAGTGGTTAAAAAGCCCTTTCACATGAACTTTTTCAAAGGAAATTAGAATAAGTTGCCATTTAAATTGCCTGATGGCCAGTAGACACTCTTCAGTAATCATTTTAATCTTCTGCCAAAATCTGAGTTGAGAGTTAAAACAGGAAATCTTGAGGGTAGGAAGTATTAACAGCAAAGTTTGAGACTTAAGTAGATCTGGGAAGGTATAGTTGCTTGCTTTGTTCCTTGGAATGAAGAATATTTTTGCCTGCAATACACCTATATATATCCAAATCAGCAAGGTATATTTGTCATATTAGACAAAGGGCACTCACATAGAAGAAATACTTATTTATGAGTTGTCTAATAGAAACTCAAGTCATGTCCTTTCTACAAATGGCCTAATATCCCTAAGTAAATTAAGAAAAGATTTCCTAAAGAGGGCATTCTCACACCAGGGAGAAGGCTAAAAGACAACTGCTATTATGGAAAGGCCAAATATATGAACATTATGAAAAGGCTTTCCAGACAGGCATATTTTTTTCCCCTAGAAAGTATTTGGATGCAACCAAGAATTAAACTTTCAGATTAAAAAAATTCTTTTCAGGAAGGCATGGTAATGAAAAACTGAGGTAGGAGGATCAAGAGTGTAAAGTCAGTCTAGGCTCAATAGGAAGACATGTCTCATAAACCCAAAAACCAACAAACTAAAAATTTTATTTCTAAGAAAATTTCAAGGTAGGCCCTTTTCCTATCCCTGATTTCTACACTTGAAGATCAGCTCTAGTATTGAGGGAAAGGTGGTTCAAACACATCTAATTCTACAAATCATTTCCTAAGTTGGCATTAAAAAAGGCTTCAAATTTAAGTTTCTAAAATTATACAACCTCAGTTTGTTATAAAAATAAACATTATAGTATTAAATATAAAAGTAAACTGGGCACTGAAGGCTGAGGCTTGCAGTACTAGCTATTCATGAGGCTGAGATCTGGAATATTGTAGTCTGAAGCCAGACAGAAAAGTCTATGAAACTTGTCTCTAAAAGCAGGGCTGAAATTGGATGCTGGCGGCTCATATGTGTAACCAATCTAGATCCTCAGGAGGCAGAGATGTGAGGATCAAGGTTTGAAGCTTGTTCAGATTCTTTTTTTTTTTTTTTTTTTTTTGGTCCGGTCGTGGGGCCTGAACTCTGGGCCTGGGCGCTGTCCCTCAGCTCTTCAGCTCAAGGCTAGCACTCTACCACTTGAGCCACAGTGCCACTTCCGGCTTTTTCTTTTTGTTTATGTGGGGCTGAGGAATCGAACCCAGGGCCTCGAGCATGCAAGGCAAGCGCTCTACCACTGAGCCACCTTCCCAGCCCCACTTGTTCAGATTCTTAACTCCAGTTAACCACCAAAAAGTAGGGGTGCAACTCAAATGATAAAGTGTTTGCCTAGCAAACACAAGGCCCTGAGTTCAAGCTCTAGTACTACAACAAACTCAAAAAATAAAACATATTTTAATATCACTAACGCACTTAAAATTAAGGAGTTAATGATAAAATTATTCAAATTATTCAAATTTATTTGACAATCTCAAGAAAGTAAAAAAAAAATGTTTGATTTGAAATGGGATCCATGTAAGGTTCATATATTACTGGCTGAAAAACATCTAAAAATTTAAAGGAACAATTCATTTTGTGTTCATTTTTGTACAAAATGTTGTGGATATATTCTATACCAACATGCAGGCTTTTCACATCCAAGGGAGAGAGCTGCCTATTAAATGGATATATCATGGTAAGTCAGCACCCTAGAAATGGATATTTAGGTAGTTCTGTCCCTATGCAACTATTATTATTACATTTCAATGATCACCCTCCTACACATACCATTATGCACTAGTGAGAATATATCTGTATGATATGCCTTTGAAGGCCTTTCAATATACTTTTTCTGCCTTTGACACAGTTTAAGACAGACATGGCTTTCTCAAAGTAATCATCTGTGTATAAACATCCCCAACGTGAAACCCAAAGCTTGACAAAATGAGAAAGAATAAGCTAATTACTACTCATCCTCTTGTTTTATCCTGTACTAATTACAAATGATGGACAGGAGGGTGAGCCCAAACAGCTGGGCCAAATCTTGACTGAACAGGCCACTGGGTTCCTAGAAACACATGTCACTGGGAGGCTAAAACAGAATCTAGTTGCAACCCCTCACAACCTCAAGGAAATCATTGCTTTTTCATCATCCTCCAGTATTTTTAAAAGGCTACCATTGTCCTCCTGTCTTGAAGAAGTTCAAAGTTGAACTCACTAGAATACCCAGTTAGGCATTAAGATCTGGGTGAAAAACAACAGTTTCTGACTGTTATTATTACTTCAGAATCTCTTTTAATTAGTGCTAATAACAGATGTTGATTGCAAAGTCTCTCATTTGCTAATCAGCTAATATGCAAACACATTAAAAGCAAACCTATCACTAAGTCATTATGATTGTTTATTTTGACATATGATATAAAATATTTATGGTTCTTTTTTGAAGAGATTCTAAATGATACTTAGTTAAGAGTTGGGCCAGGCACTGGTGGCTCACACCTGTAATCCTAGCTACTCAGGAGGCTAAGAACTGAGGATCATGGTTCAAAGACAGCTCAGGCAGGAGTTTGTGAGACTTTTATTTCCAATCAACCACCAGAAAACTGGAAGTGGCACTGTGGTTCGAGTGGTAGAGTGCTCACCTTGAGCTGAAGAGCTGAGCAACAGAGCCCAGGCCCATGACTGACACACACACACAAAAAGAGTGGGGATGTAGATAAACTAGGTTCTAAAGCTCATTTTGATCCTAGAAGACCAGATAATCTAGCTCTGATTCTCACTTTGGGTCTCTATCTCCTAATTTAGAATATGTGTGGGTCTCACCAAATCCTTCCGAGGAACAATATACTATATTGTCCAATTAAAAAAAATAACACAAAGAAATAGTAACACAAAGAAATAGCTGTAATTTTTTTTTTTGCTAGCACTGGGGCTTGAACTCTGGGCCTAGGCCCTGTCTCTGGGATACTTTTATGTAAGGCTAGCACTCTACCACTTGAGACACAGCTCCACTTCCCTCTTTTTCTGTGATTAACAGGAGATAAAAATCTCAAGGACTTTTCTGCCCAGTCTGCCTTTGAACCATGAGCCTCAGGTCTCAGCCTCTTGACTAGTTAGGATTACAGGTATGAGTCATCAGTGCCCAGTGGAAATATCGATAATAGAGAAAACTTTCTTTTTTTCAATTGTTGCTATAGCGGTGATATACAGAGGGGTTATTGTTTCATAAAGAGAAAACTTTTACAAGTGGAAAACATGCTTATAGGTATGATGGTGGAAAAAGGGAATTTAACATTTATTCAGGATCTCCTATTTATAAAGTTCTGTACTCAGGCCTTTTCCTATGTTAGTTCCTTTAATTTAATCTAATCTCCACTACAGCCTTATAAGATAGAATTTATAACTACTATTTATTTTCTTGAGACAGGATCTCATTCAGTAGCAAGGCTGCCCTCTAATTTGAGATGCTCCTTCCTCAGCCTTCCTAGTGTTAAGATTGTAGGCATCTATTTTTATATTAGGAGAAACAACC